GCATCCAACCTGCCGTCCAGTGTACCGTGCCCACCCCGCGTGCAACGAGCCGAGACCCGGTCAACGAGAGAATCGATGGGTGGCTTCTTGCCACAAATACTGTGCAGTCGGAGATACAGCCCGGTCTGCAGCGATGATTAGAGTTTAAAGGTCGTCGTTTCAATGGGTTGTCCAGCACCGACGAGTCTGTGTCAGATTTTCTGGTTGCCAACAGAGTTTTGCTGAACAGCCGCCTTCGGCACCACCGCGGCCAAATCAATCGACATTGCTCACGTCTGGGCTGTGGACATCGCATGAATACGCACTGGCATTGCGCGGGTGTCCAGCGACTTCAGCCTTACGCGAGCCGCTTGGATACGTTGGCGACAACACGGATATTTTCTGCCCTGTTGCCACGCTGGATTTTCATTCCAGACGTAGACGTAGAGATCCTTGGAACGGTCTGTGATGCCAGGATAACCACCATGGTGAGAGACTTCAACCATACGGATCTGAGCCAGCCAGTAGCGGTGAAAGCTTTGGTTGCATTGCTGAAGGAGTCGTTCGAGACAGGGGGGCCGGATTGGGACGCGTACAATGTAAGGTAAGCTTTGCTGGGTTGAGTCCTGGATCCAGCGTCTGAGCTATGCGCAACAGACCCTCGGACGAGACGAATGAGACAAGACGTTCTGCTCTTGGAGAAGGTCTGTAACCAGGGAGTTGGCACATTTGGAGGTTTAGGAGTCTGACGACTTGGCCAGGACATTTGTGCTCCCACCATGCCGCTAGAAGGAATATTGCTATCCCAATATCTTTGTTCGTGCGTGTGAGCGTGCGTGTGAGCGTGCGTGTGAATGTGCCAATCAAGAAAGAATTAGTGTGTGAGCGACAAGTCAGCCATGGTTTCGAGGAGTGACCTTCGCTCTTCGTACGAATCGAGGTCGCCCTGGCCTCGCTCACCAAAGCTGCAGACGCTCAACAGTTCCTCTTTTAAGCAGTTGCTTGTAACGCCCAAACTGGGTTCACAAGAAGCCCCGATGAAGTAAGTGCATCGCTGGTAGTTGCTCGCCTCGCAGGGTGCGCAGCGAACCCAGGAGGTGCCAGGAGCAGATATGGTAATGGAAGGGATCACTGGACCGGGCTTGAATCCTCAGCTGCTATAGAGTCTTGCAGATCATTTCCAGCAATGGGGTTTGGTAAATGCCCATGGTGAAGTTTGAATAGCAGGAGCGGTGAATCGTCCAATGTTTCCGATGGGCGTTGCTCATTTCTTCGGCTGATCTGGCCGTAGAGCCACAGCTTGCCTTCCAGAAAGAGATGATACAGCGGTCTTGAGTCAGGAGATTTGACGGCATAGTTGACCACTCCAGGAGTTCAGAGTCCAGACTTGGGTTCACGAAAACGAGGCCAAGACGCAGACGAGGCGAGACTGATAGTGGAGGGGTCACGGTAGGTGCGTGTTGCGGTAGAACGGAGGGAGGGTGACCGGTGGACGGCTAAGACGGCTGGGTACGGGTACCTGTAAAGGGCACACTTCCATGCAGCGGGAAGTTCGAGACGCGGTTGATGCCCCCAGGGATGTTGGAGATTTGCCTGCGCTGGCACGCTGCGGAGTCTTCTGGTGCGGAGTGGAGTTGTTGCCCGCCGGGTATCCGTCTCGGTGCCCTAGCCTGTCCGTACGGACCTATTTAAGTTTCTGTGAGAATAGATTAGGTCGCCGAAAGTAAGGGTATACTGTGTAGTGATTGCTGATGGCCAAGAAACAATCAGCCTGGGACGTTTGAGCGGGATTGCAGGAAAGGCCTGTGTAGAGGTTGGACTAATTTGTAGTGGGCAACGGGCGGTGAACCCGTCGCAAGAAGAGATGACGATGATGATGCTCGCGAAGGTCTGGATAAACTCTGATTAGCCTGGAAGATACAGTTGGACATGTTACTTCGGATGCTGCTCGACGGGCAACGTCAAGACGGTGAATGGAGGCATAAGACGGCAGGCCACGGGTGTAAGTTACTTGGATGAGGGGAAGAGGACGGGAGACACCTCAAGCAGCTGCCGCCGTAGAGAGGCCAGAGCTGTTGGGGAGTAGCTGTGTGACCTGAGTCTATGAGTCTGTAAGGTGCGGTAGGTTCGGTCAGGTTGCATTTGCTCGCGCAGGCGGTGCAGCCATAGGGCCACTGGATTTGACTTTCTCGGTAGGCAGAGGCAGAGCTGCATTCATGACCGGTGAGTAGAGAGGATACCCTTGCCGGAGGTCATGCAGAAACGGGAAACGAAGGCCGTGGACCTGAAGCCCGCGTGGTCCCCCGTGGCACCCCCCAGACAGAGTGTTTGTCTGGAAGATCGATGCGATGCGATGCGGTGCAGTGCTGAGCTGCAAGGCTGGTGGTGCTGGCGCCGGTTGCCAGTGCGCCAACGTCTCGAGAAGGGGGTACGTGAGCAACAGATAGATGAAGGAGCTTGCTGTAGACGGAGACTGGGGACGGGGGAAACAATCAAGATGTTGCGAAGAGAAGAAAGCACAACAATGAAAGAGTGCCGTAAATTGTAAGCATACGCGCATACGGATAGATGGGTAGGTGTAGCATCATTGATGGGTGTGCTTTGTTGAATGAGGAAGGGAGTTGAGGCTGTCTCGGAGAGAGCATCCGTCCCCACGCACTTGGGCAGGAGAGGAAAGGTCCCATCTACTTCAGGGCTCGGTACGGAGACAGCCAAGCCGGAATGTACCTTAACTTCGCCCTGTCTTGGAATCTGGAACTTGTCGGCCCTGTCAGCTGCTGCCTATCTCAGACCTGCCTACTGTCTGTCAGGGCCTCAGGAGGAAGAGAAGGAGGAGCGCCCGGCGGCATGGCCCGCTGCGAAAGTCCAAGGGGCGCCTCAGATGGTCAGACTACTCGTAAGTACCTTACCTAAGGTACCTTACCTCGTAGGGGATGAAGTAATACTACCTATGATCACTAAAGGGTACGCTTCCCACCTCATATGCCTGCTGCTTCGTGTATCTAGCTTGGTGTAGGTACCGGTATCTCGCCTGAAGTTTGAACAACCTGAACTCAAGAAAGGAACAAGAAGATGTTCAAATGCTCTGTGTTGATGAGGCAAGCACGGGACGTATTTGCTCCCGGCCACTACTCTCTTTCCCTTGCGGTGTGCGGCAAGGTAACTTGTGGATTATGGATCACGGAGCTTTAGACTTTAGACTTTGACGCCTCCATCATTCACATCCCCGGCGTCTCGTTGGCACCCTGGCATCACGGAGTCACGGACCAGCTACGCATACAGACACAGACTACTCCGTAATACGGATCCCAATTTCTACGAATACTTTTCCTTTCACAGGCCTCTCGTTGATTACACTCGCATCGATTCCATGGATCGGTCTGGAGCCAAGCACTAATCTCTACCCAACAAATCATCCCGCCTGGCCCGCCGGCCGGGTCTCATTCCATCTACCTGATCCCATCGTCGCCATCCAATCCAGAGTGTCATCTATTCAAACCTACGGGGTAGTCTATTGCATAGGTAAACGGAAAATGACTGGCCCATACGGAGTACTGCGTCAGTGTGTGTTGACACTCGACAGGAAAGCGTCCCTTACACTCTATTACACCGTAGACTTGGACTTGGACCGACTGATCAGGCCAGTTCCACCAACAAGTGCCAACTCTGTCCAAGGATCGGCCATCTGTCAATACTCTGCTTCGACCAACAAACTTGGATTCGGGCTTTGTTTGCTTCATCGACAGCAACCTTATCCCCGCTGTCACTCCAAGTTAGCTTTTGGTCGAATACCCTGACATACCCCGAGCAGTCTCGCCCCCTCCTTCCCCTCGCGTCTTTGAAAGCATCTGGTCCAGCCTGGCCAGTGCCCTTGGGAAGTTGGGATTTCTCTCCTTGGTCCAAGGGGCGAAATTGGGAGGGATGGCTGGAGCCAGACCCTTCGTCTCTCAACTCAGACGAGTCACGAACGACGTCGAGGAGTCCCCCAAGCTTTCTGGGGACTGCCCGGACCACGTGCAGCCACCAAAAGCCAGAGGTAATTACCTACCTGCGGATGGTGATTCTGTACGAATGGGCAAATAGACGCAGACGTGTTGCTCAGTATTATCGGCTTGTCCAGCCTATTGGATGGTCCTCTCCCTCGTACACCCATTTTCTGATTCGTTTGACCTCGCGAGATAGGTAGGCACCTTATGCTGGCTGCTCTGAAGACTGGGACCAACCTCCCTTAGGTTTGGTTATATTACACCTCGACTCGTCCCGACCTGGGTTTCCCAACTTCATGACATCAGAAGAGAAGCCCGAGAATTCAAACGCAAAAAGATTGCCCTGACTGCATTGCTGTGTATCCGTCCATCCATTCATACATAGACAATACTTCGTACTTCTGCCCCGGCGGACTTTGAGCCAGCACCAGCACTCCGGCCACACAAGGTCTATCCAGACTCGAGTGCGATACCTTAACAGCTAAGAGGGACCAGTTCACTTGGCAAAGACGCGCGAACGCAGACTGCCATTGTTTTTCATCCGGACATCGTTGCTCGTCCTATCTATCTCGAGTCCCTGAGGTCACCGCACTTGTTGATCGTCACCACAGATGCCTCGGGTGCCAATAACTCTTTAAAAAGAGGCATCCCTACTTGTAGACACCCGACGTCTATCGTCCCGTGCCTATTTGTATACCTACCTATCACTACTCTCTGTACGGACGCCAGAACCACAACCACCATCTTTTGCACCACACACTGGCACACACACAAAAGATCCAAAACCAACTCCAATCCACTGCACGCTAGCGGCACTGAGACAAGCCCTCGAAACTTGCGCCACCGGTTTGTCGTACCAGACCCTGTCCCGTTCTTGTCTCTGGTCTTGTCTGGCCCTGCAACCCGCACTGCAGCTTGCAGCCTTCCTTGACGTCCCACACGTCCACCAACGCCTCTCGGGACTCTCGCTGCTCCAAGGCACGGCACGGTCTGCGGCCTGGAGCACAAAAGTGCGTGGTGAGCAACAGCATCCCATCTTCGCCAACCCCGGTCCACTCGGCTCCTCCTGCGTTGTCCATCATCAAAGAGTCCTGCTCTAACCTGCTGAGCATTAGCGTCTGGAACCAACTCCAGTCCCCACGCCTTTCGCCCTGGCCTATCCTGGCCTGTGCTCTCTTGCACCTTACTCGACGTCTTCTGGACCTCTGGAAGAACATACGAACCATAAGAGACTCTTCCTCCTCGTTGTACACCACCACTCACACTCTCTCGTCTGAGTCTTGGCGAACAACACAACCATAGGACGAGAACACTTTAGCAACTGGGCTTTGCTTACGCCTTCGATCCTCTTCCGCCCGCCTTCTCTCACTCTCTCATCCTCATTCTCATTCTATCTCATTCTCTCTCCATCTCTGGTCTCTTTCTCTCTCTTCTCTCTCTTGCAAACAACAACCCCAGATTGCTCGCAGTACCCTCCTTGTACCCCGAGCCACCAGTGCCACCCCCATCCACCAACTCGTCCCATCCTCTAAACAGTGCCATCTCGCCTTGTTGCCCCCGGGACGCTAGCCTGGTGTGGACGCTACTGGCGCTTTTCTCCCGGCACCTCAACCTGCCTATCCTCACAGCTTACGGCTACACAGCACTTCTCCCAAGTTCCCAGAGACCTCGACCCTCTCTCCAATCTGCGCCGCCCCCCTCCTCCTCCTGCTGCTGCTCCTCACCCCCCTCCCCCCCCCCCTCTACGCCTGAACTGGGACCTGGACCTGGACCCTCATCAGGACACGCCTATCCGCTTCCCACTTCTCTTTCTACCGTTTTCCCATTTCTTTCCCATAACTACTACCTTCACAACATAGTTGTCCAACACACGTCGAAAGTAGGATCGCGACCATGGACTTCTCTCACCAGTATTTCGCGCAAGCGCAGCCGTACCAGTTCATGGGCATCCCGCCCCTAACGCCATCCCATTCAAACTCGGCAGGTTCAGACGACTTCAACACAACATCTCCACCAGTAAGTCGAATCCAAACGGGCATTCCTTTCCCGACTCGAGCCCCCAATACCCACAGGTCACTGGTGGATTGCTGCTTAGCGTACTGCGACATGCACTTACACAATCATGACCGATCAGGACGTCTACGCCGAATATCCCAACGACCAGCAGCACTTCAACAACTTTGATAACTATGCTGCTGCCCAGCAGTTCAATCCCCAGCATACATCATTCCCCGGCCCTCCTGGCCCACCGACACCACCGAACCATGGCCTGCCCGTACAGCAGCCCGTACAACAGCAACGAACACAACACAATGGAATGAGTGCTCCCCCGGTACAGCAGATCAAGGCTCAGCCCGATGCTCTCGTTCACAAGCAGGAGCCCCTCGACGATCATTCTCGTCGGGGACAGTCAAATTCGGACGATGAAGAAAACATGACGCCCGCGCAATCGAGGAGGAAAGCACAAAACCGCGCCGCGTACGTTGTTTCTCTGCTTTCCGTGTTCATCGTCTAAGACGGCATGGCATTTCTCAGTGTTCTGTATCACTAACAGGAACCTCACAGGCAACGCGCATTCCGGGAACGAAAGGAGAGACACGTCAAGGACCTGGAGGCCAAGCTCGCGAACCTAGAGGCGGAGGCTCAGCAAAAGTCGACTGAAAACGAACGACTCAAGCGTGAGATGCAAAAGATCAGCACCGAAAATGAGATTCTACGTGCAACCTCGTCGATGAACGGCCACCACAGCTCTGCGTCACCAGAACCCCGGACAACAGGTCCCATGCACTACAACCCGAAGGACTTCTACACAGACCTGCTAGCGCCGCACAATAACAAGACGCCGAGTCATCGAGTCGCTATTTCATCCGACGGCGAACGCTTGCTGGCAGCGGGCGCTACGTGGGACTTCATCATCAGCCACCCGCTGTTCAAGAGAGGTCTGGTGGACGTCGGCGACGTAAGCGAAAGACTCAAGAATCAAGCACGATGCGACGGCCAAGGCCCTGTATTTTCGGAGCGCTGCATCATCGAAGCCATCGAAGGTAGCGTTGCGAGCGGGAGTGACGAACTGCTCTAGAGTGAAGAGACTAGGCAGCCCGCAGAGAATCCCAACAGCGGGACCCGAGGGGTGCGCTTTGTAAGCGACGTGCAGCACTACAGTACCTCCAAGGTGCAGGGCAACGGACACAACACCGCGGCCCGCCCGTGCATCGGGGCTAAGGTTCGGCGTTTGGTTCCATTTGGTTACACGGAGTCAAACAAACGGAAGGGGGAACGAGACGCTTGCTAAAACGACGTACGATATCAGGGCTCGACCTGTTTTTTGCATCATGGCCAATTCAATCTTTGTGACGCTACTTGACGGGCAGTACCGACAGCACGAAGTATATGACGTGGCAAACTATTTCTACTAGACGAAATGGCGTCTTTTTACACGGGGAATCACAAAGGACGCTGCACGGCGACGACCACGACATAGGCAACAAAGATGTCGTCGCCGGCAGGGGCTTTATGGGCTTTGGAGCATGTTGGACATCATCGGATAACGCCAGAGGAAGCGTGCACGATCTTATCTTGGGCAGCACAAGTTGCCTCGTCGGTATGCTCGGAAATTTTGCGTGTTTTTTTCTTTCTTTCTTTTTGGGGCAAATTGCATGCTATTCGGGGTGACTCTGGTCTCCTTTGCCCAAGGCGATTTCCAAGCGAAGGAAGAAGGGCGATTGGACTGCTTGGCTGAGGTGGTTAGGGAGGATCTGACTTTAGATCCTTTTTCTTCTTCTCGGTATGATGTGATGGGGTGGGTTCCTTTGGATGCGAGTATACTTCATCGAGATATCGTTGAGGAAGAAACATGGCATTATCTTGATATGTCTGGTGCTTCGCTCTCGTACCGTTTGACGTGCACAGGAGGAGACCGCTATAGTGATTCCAGTGATGGAGGACCATCACTTCTCAACGCTTGCTCAGGGTCTCGTCGGCGTCTCGGAGCGAGCGGCGAGAAGGCGGCAACAGGCGGGGTTCCGCCGGCGCCTGGCTGCGCCGTACTTTGTCTGACTGAAATGCCGCCAATAGGGTCTGACTACCATGTATTACCCCAGGCGAGGGTCATCACCCTCTTCCATCCGATCCTTTCTCGATCGATGATTCCATTGATACTGTTTCCTTCGCCCGAACCCCAATCTGTCACATTTCCCGGGGGTTCCCTTTGTCGGGTCTTTTTTTTTTCTTTTTCCCTTTCTTCCCATCACTAAGTACCTACTATAGGCACCCGTATTCTTGGCTACTTTACTTTTACATAGGTGGGTTTGTCGGTTCACTTTACTCGTAAAGTCGCCGAAGATCCGAGGGAGGGGGGGGGGGGTCCGGGAAAATTGCAATGAACCTTGGGCGAGGTAAGGTGATGTAGGAAAGCCGAGGCTCAAAGCTTTCACTTGAACTTGCTTTGTCTAGATAAGACTCTGAGATACCACAATACCTGACCTTTCAGTCCTATCAACCAGGTCAGGCAGAATTAGTTAGGGAGATCATCATCTTCTTTCCGTCGGTTCCATGTGTATCTTCAATAAGTAGGATGGATTGGGTATCCTCTTCATCTAAGCTTGCTTGCGTACAAAGATGCCATAGTTATACGGTTGTAGAGAAAGACAAGAGAGATCGCCACCCAAACCTCACGACAACAATAACAACCAAAGTCTCCATATCGGGAACTGGTAGCCGAACGTTGAAGAAACGGTGAGCCTAAAAGAGACTTTAAAAAAATCCACACACACCCCTCAACTCCTGGAAGAAAAGATGCCAGGAAGGTAGGTGATGAAGAAACTAAAGAGACGGAAAAAGACAAATAGCCGCGCAAAAAAAGACAATGATGAGCTGCGCCCAACAAGAGGAAGCAAACGAAACAGAAACGAATAAGATTGTTCACAATCCACGCAAACTTCCGTCACATCGTTACTTTTCCCTTGCCTGCCTGCCAGTCTGAACCAACCCCCGTCCATCCATCCATCCCAAGAACCAGTCCGATCCCCGGCAAAGAAGGGAAAGAGAAACCAACCGACGGGGCCCCTCTTCCGCCTGTCATCATCACCCGTCATATTCGTATATTGTTGCCCCCCTCTTACCCGTCCGTCCATCCCCGCCCGGTTCGTCAAAGTATCATTAAAGTTGTCGTTTGGACGTTCCGAATCAAGCTCATGGTGCCGATGCTCAAAAACGTTCTGAATCAAGCTTGTGGTGCCGATGCTCGAAAGAAGACAAAAAAAAAAAAGGAGAAGAGAGGCGAAGATGAAAACTTTGCGCAACACCGACCATGAAGGTTTACGTCTCTTGTCCTACTCTTCTGTAAAAAGATCGAGAAAAGATCCGAGCGCGACCTGAAAGGGACTGCAGCCTTTGCTGATCCCGTCGAAATCTTTAATCTTTCAATCTTAACCTCCAACTCTCCCGTCGGCTGCAAATTCGCTACCGGCTATCGGGTGGAGGGCTTGATTCGGTCCGGTCAGCTGGTCAACTGGGTATCACACCGTGCGATACGTCCTGCCGAAGCTCGCAAAAGACGGTAATCTCGGTGAACCGGCTTCTACTGCGACTTCTTGCCGGCCGCCTGGGCGCTGCCGTTGCTCTCCTTGCCCTCGACCCACGGGTGCTTGATGGTCAGGCACCAGATGTCGAGGTAGTCGCAAATGGTGACAATAACATCCACCACGAAGCTGCCGTAGACACCGACAGCCATGCCGAGCATGGAAAACATAAAGGCGACCTGGTAAACGCCGTCACCGAGGGCGCTGGGCCAGCCGAAGCCAAAGTTGCGCTGCAGGACGGGACCCAACGCGTCACCGACGCCAAAGGCGAGCGGCAGGCCGAGAACGTTCGAGTAGGGGAAATCAAGCTTGACGAGGTGGGCCGTGATCATCTGGCCGACAGAGTAGGCGTTTACGATGCCGGCGAACATGACGAACGGCACGAGATGGGCGTGCAGGATAGCCGGGTTGAGGAGCAGGTACGAGATGATGAGCACCCACATGCCGAAGAAGGGGAGGAGACCCAGCAGCGCGCCGCGGGATCGGTCGCCGCGTGCGCGGCGGGCCTGGATGACGTTCCGCGCCGACTCGATGGTGTTGAGGACGAGGACGAAGGAGCCCTGGACCATGTACCACTGCGTAAAGGACAGCTCGTAGAGGGCGGCGGGGACGCCCAGCTTCTCGGAGACGCCAAAGGTGCGGAGCATGGACTGCTGCCAGAAGGAGGCGCCGCCCATGTAGCCGGTCAGGGCGTAGACGCCCACGAGGATGAGGACGCCCTCGACGGGGCCATTGACGATGCCGAGGGTCAGGGTCTTTGTGTGGTACTCGTCCCAGGTCTGGACGTAGAAAGTGAGGAGGGCTGTGAAAGGATCATGTTAGGCTTTTGCTTTTGGCTTCACAGGACACAACCTAGACAGAATACGTACAAGAGAAGAGGACGGCGACCGTCATCCAGCCCTGGCCCATGTTTTGCGACGCGGCGAAGACGAGAACCTCGAGGGATGTGTTGAGCGCATCGACGCCGTGGTCAAAGAGCTCGCCGAGTGGTCCGGACTGGTGGGTTCGTCGACTATTTCACCAAAAATTCCACATTAGCTTCCATTTATCTTCTCGGGAAACCCCCAGACATGGGAAAAGAATCATGAAGGAGAAGAGGTACTCACGCCTGCGATCCGTCTACAGCATCGAACGTCTGGTACAGGAACAGGCCGACGGCCCACGAGTAGTACACCCAGCTAGGGCAGTCTTGGTCGAGCGTCGGGTTATACCAGAGCAGCGTCAGGACGTTTGCAATGACAAAGGTGAAGCCCGTCAGCGTGATGAGGTTCGGCGCCATGCTCATGGGGAACATCTTGATCACGACATTGGTGTAAAAGGGCTTCAGGATGTACTTTGACGTCAGTGAGTGGTCGACGGCAGAGTACTTGTACTCCTTGAGCGCCGGAAGGCGTTCCTGGCGAACGTAGACCATCTTGGGTGAGCGTTGCTTTCGGGAACTATCTCGAGAGTTTTGATCGACGGAGCTGGTGCTTTTTGACCTCTACGTGTGGTGTAGGTAGTTGGGGGGAAAGGTGTGCAAAGAGCCGCGGGGGTTTGTTTGCAGTCCTGCAGTTCCTTTTGTTGCCAGGAGGCTCTTTATTTTTTTTCCCTCGTCCTGTTGTCTGGCGGATCGGACTCCACGCGGGTCCCGGGGAAGACAATCTAGAGCGCCGTAGGACCACTAAATGGGTCCGAAAAGGTATCCGTATGTCGGTCCAGTTCTCAAGCGGTGACGATGGCTTCAAACCGGGGTTGGTCGAGGGCTCGGTTTTGGCGGGGTGGTGGACAAGGTTTGTGCGGTGAGCAGGGCGGAAGGGGGGAAAGCTTCAAAAGAGCATGTGGAGACTAGTGAAGTTGTAAAGACTTTGGTTCGCCAAGGTGATCTTCAGGGTTATCCCGAGACCAGCGACGAGATCTGTTTCAATAAGACCTGACGAGATTCAAGTTGCGTTGAGCAGTGCAGGTTGAGAAGCCCGAGAACTTGACATGTGGTAACAGCGGAAAGGTCGCGTGGCCGTCGTGTCGCGCCGAAAGGGCCAAGCTATTTTTTTTTCTTCACTAAGGTACCCTTCCTTGGACAGCTCAGCTTGAGCGCACACGCAGAGAACTCCGTCACCGAACGTCATTTCTGTCCTGGGCCTCGAGCTCTAGCACTTCTAAAATTCCAGCCTAGTCTTCTCTAGGATTAGCCCTCTTGGCCCGTGCCACACGTGTCAAGCCCCCCCAAAGTGTCAGTCGTCAAGCTCAATTTCAGCACCAACACCAGCTCCGATTGACGTCGATCAACTGACATGCGCCGCGAGGCTTGAGCTAATCCCGTTTGACAAACGTCTGGATGCTGACAAGGGTTGGGCGTCGAGCTGATAGTAAAATCTACCTTACCCATCTACAACTACCGGTATCCAAGGTAGCATCGCAGGCTTGCGCCGTGTATGATGGCTATATGGGTGGCCCTCTTACACACTCACTTCTCACTTCACACCTGAGTCTACTAGTACTTCGTGATGCTTTTTCATGTCTTCATTCTAGTATACGCAAGCCGCCAGTCCTTTTACGCGCACGCTGATGCGCTCCAACTCCTGCTCGACACCCCCAAAGCTACTATGGTGGCGGCTGCTCGGTCGAGTACCTTGGGCTATAATCAAAGTTCTCGTATCTTTGTGCTGCCGTACGTACGTCTTTGCTTGGAATATCCGACCATGTATCGATCCCACAAAACTCCCAACAACTGTCTTCCTTAAGCAACCGATGCAACAACAAGTGACGCTACGCCCTCCTCCTCGCTGCGAACCGTGATCTTGGTCGTCACACCAGACTTGGACGAGTATGCCATCCGGATGTTGGCCACCACTCTGCCGCCGCCAACAGTCTTTCCGAGCAACTTGAGCGTATGTGTCGTTTGGTTGACGGGCACATCTGTACCCTCCAGGGGTTGCAGCGACAACACCTTTGCCAGTTCTTCTGTTGCCTCTGTGTTTCATGGTTAGCTCTACTCACGACAGATTCACCTAATAAGTACTTACCTGCTATGCTCTTCATGCTGCTGAGCTGCAAAGTCTCCTCGGCCTCTTCGCCGGCCGCACCCACCTGCTCCCAGATGTGGTTGAAGTTGCTGGCGAATGTCGGAATGACATAGTCGCTGCCTGACAGGTCGAACTCAGCCACCTCGTACTCGTCGTCGTAGCCAGTGTCCTCTGGCTCGTTCGTTGTGGGGTCAATCTCTTTGCTCGTGAACTTGAGCACGTTGGAGATGCTGCTAACGGGCATGGAACCCTCGCCGTTGACCTTCTTGAAGGCCACGTACAGCTTGCCCGGCTCATTTGTGGGAAGCTTGTCAGCCTGGATAATGAAAACCTCCTCAAGCTCCTCCTCTTCGGAAGGCGTCGCCACGATGGACACATTTTCAAGAACGGTCGCATCCAGCGTGTTCTTAACTTCGTACTGGAACACGATGTGCTCCTTGAAAATGTGCTTGACGACGGTAACGACGTACTCCATCTCTGACTCGGTGAGCTCGACAACAGGCGACGACTTGAGCACGCTGCCAAACTCCTTCATCTCGGGGATCTGCATCAGCTCCTGGGCGTAACGCTGAGAAACCGCAGTTGCTGATGCAGCAGCCTCCGCGCCACCTGCAGCAGCCTTTGTAGGGCCAACCTTGGGAGGCTTGAGAGACGGGGCAGTCGCCGTGAGCTTCTTCGTCCGGTCCTCCGCGTCTGCCTGCTCGCGGGTAACGACAGGAATCTGAGAGATGTCGAAGGGACTGTCAAATGCGGACTTGTCCTCTGATGTGACGTACATGACGAGCTGGTGCTCAAAGTACGGCAGAGAGAACATGCTGTCTGTAAAGGGGTTACTAAGGAAGTTTACACAATCACCCGCATCAAACGTACCATTCTTGACAAACTTCTCAGAGATCTCGTCCTCCTGGTGCATGAGTCTGAGGTTGAGCGCTGCACGATCTCTGACTTCATCGTCCACATCATCCAAACATCTTGTAAGGAGAACCTCAACACTGCGCTTGACTTCGGGATCCTTCTGGCCGACACCGAACTTGGCAAGAGCAGTAACAGCGGCGGCACGCACAATGGCGTTCTCCAGAACCACTCTGTTGTAAATGTAGCGGATGTACTTCGTGGGCTGAGAGGTCTTGGGTCCTTCGAGACCGAGAAGGTGAAGGATTCTAACCGCCAGCTTGGTGAACTCGCAGTCCTCAATGAACTCGCAGAGGTGGGCAAGCGCATCCTCCTTGGATTCCGGCACAAACTTGATCAAATCGAACATGCTCTCGACAACGGCGCGCTTGAACTCGTAACCACCCTCGTCGCGGAGAATGCCACTCAAGAAAGCAAGCATACCGGCCTGCTTGCTGGGGAACTTCAAGCAGAGCGTGCGGATAGCCTCGACAATGGTAATCTTGAACTCGTCCGTGATCTCAGACATGAAACCAGAAATTTGCTTCATCAAGCGATCAACGCTAGCCTCGTTGCCGGTCTTGAGCAAAGTGGTAATGGCAAAGGTGGCGATGGATCGGTTGCTGTTGGAGATCAGGAGCTCGATGTCGGGGTTGCAGACGTTGACGGCGTTGGGCTTGAAGGAAGCGAAGTTGTGGAGGATTCGGAGAGCGGCGAACTTTGTGACGGCACGGGGGGAGGTGAGGAAAAGCTGGAGAACGTGGACGGCCTGGGAGACCTCGGCGTCGGTGACATCTCGCATATCGCAGATAGCCTTGGCGGCCTCGAAGTTGACCATCTCACTCTTGTGGCGCAACCAGCCATCCAGCAGCTGCATCATGGGCTTTCTGAGCGACGGGTCCTCCTCGGCCAACTGGGCAGCCAGACGGACGAGCATGACGATCGCCGCAGAGCTCTTGACAGCACCAGCGGCACCGAACTGCTGCACCATCTTGACGAGCGCCATGCGGTCGTGCATGCGCATCGAGTATAGCAGACCAATGGCGTGGTACTGGGGCATGGTGGAGTTGTTGGCGGGCAATTGGCCGCTCGATGAGGAGAAGCCCAGGGAGAAGCCGCTTGAGGACTTGGTGGAGGCCGCAGCTTCCTGCGTCTCGCTCTGCCAGCGGCGGACGACATCCTTGGCGATCGGGAGAAGGTGGTAGGAGGAAATGAGAGCCGCGGAAGATACAGAGGGGTTCTTGTCGACGATTGCCGTCTTCATCACACGCTCAATGGACTGAACTGTGGTCGCCTGGAAGCTAATTAGCAGACTGCCCTCTCCCTTCCATATAGCTCACAGCTTCGGCGTACATCGATAATGCGGCACAGGGCCCTGATGGCGTTGGGTCGGAAGATGGCATCGGTGCTGCCTCCTGTATCCTTCATGATGGTGCTGGTGACCATAATAATATCTTCGGCCGAGTGAGCCAGCTCCTTGATGACAAGGTGGACCATCTGTCGCAAGCTGGCATCTTTATTCTGGAACAGCTTCGAGATGCCGAAGAAAAGGGTCGTCGCTTCGTTCGTGGGGAACTTCTCGCCCGTATAGAGCAGAAGAGCAATCTTGGTAAGGAGGATTCGACATCTTCGCGGCTGGATTGGGGAGCTGTTGAATAGTCGTGCTGTTCACTCCCGTTTAGCCAGCTTGCTCGCCCAATGCTCGAAAGGGTTCCAGAGGGATGCAGAGGATCGAGTGCAATTTCGTCAAAAACTCACCTTCTTGGAAAACCTGGGTCCTATCCACCTTCACCAGGCCCAAGTCCGCATCTTCGTCTTTCTTGCCGTAGCTCATGATGGGCAGCGGTTTTTGGCGAACTGCTTGAGGTCGGCGTCGGTGACTTCGAATGGGACAGTTGGCTGCTCCTGACGGCTGGTGGGTAGCGTTGCGAACATGGGTGTGGGGTCCCTGCACGTGACATGGAGCCACACTTCACTTTCACGTCGCGTCTATCTTATCTGGCTTCAAGGGTACCCAGCTCATTGGGACAACTCTCCCTGCCTACTATGTACTATGTAGTTATACAGTCGAACTACACATGATTCGTTGTCAAGACTAAGTCATATCTCCAGACTTCACATAACTCCAATGTTCCAAAACATTCAATGTCATTACCTTGGCATGTGGGAGCAATCTGATGATGCCTAAATTTTTTGATTGCCTATCTGAGAGTAATAAAGTGGAAAAGACTGATGACCGCCTTTGGTGTCCTGTGTAACCGCCAGAATTCAATCAAACGCCCCTTGAACAGCTTGCTTCGTGCCCCCTCTAAGCTATCTTTTGGGGGTACTGCTGCTCTATTAAATATCGTCCCAATCCCAATATCTTTCCCCAGGTAATCCACACAATGGGGCCCAAACCAGGTCCCCATCCAAGTGACGGTGCTAACGATGCAGAAGATGATTGACGAAAACCTCCACGAAATCTACTCATCGCCGTCTATTCACTGTTCGGAGACCCTGAGCAGACGTGTCAACCATGCGTGGGTCTGGGTCTTCCCACTGATGGAATTGAGGGTGATCGTGAGCTCCCTCCTGGTGGTTCACCAGGGCAGAATAGGCCATAGTGAGAAAGGGTTCTGTCGCCTCCGAGGCCGACATGTTGTTCAGCTGAGCGACCTTGATGGGCGGGTATTCAATCTTCTCAGCCTTGGCCTTGGGCCGTCGGTCACCGATGACACCGACCTGGCGCTTGAAGTCACGGAATTCCTTTTCCTGGATGACAGCCATCATTGATTTGCCAAGCGCGCCTGTGCCCGCATGAAATAGCTGGCTGATTCTCTCGTTGCGTTTCTGGAGCGCATCATCCGTAATGGTCCACGTACCCTCCGTCCAGGGAGGCCGAGCGGTCTTGGGATAGTCGGCTTGCCAGTCATCGCCAGAGACTACAGGCATGGCGGATGCAGCCTGAGCACGGCTCGTGGCTTCGTTCATGTTCTGTCCAAGCTTGATAAACTCTAGAACCTTCTCCATCTGTTGATCAGATACTTTTCGCGCCTCGTCGACGACGTCCTGGAAGCAGTCGTCTGTGTCGGGTGTAGAGCCGCAGAGAAGGGATTCGAGTGGGCTTTTAAGATGAACGGGTGTCTCTGCGCCCCGGGACCTCATGGCTTCGAGTATCATGTGCTTTTTCGGACCCAAAGTCGTTTGACCCGCCAAGGCTCCGTCGAGCGAAATGTCTTTGGGGCCATTGTTGAGGGCCTTGATCGTGGTTTCGAACGTTGATGTCCGATACTGTCGATGACCCGGGGGGCCTGCAGTCAGGGGACGAGGAGCGCCTGGGCCAGTTGCAAGAGTAGACTTGTATGCTGCCTGTTGGGGATCACTCTGAATAGTGGCTGCCGGGAAAAGACCAGGGGGCGGTCCTGTGCAGTTGATGCGCCGGGAGTTGTCAGGGTCATGACTTGATCTATCAGCTTTCATCTTCAGAATGTCGTTCGGATCCGTCTTGGCAGAATGGAATAGAGCAGGAGAAAGTGAGCCGTCGTTTCTCGCATCGAAACCATCAAAGGTCTGGGCTCCGTAAGACGGAGTGGCTGTGCGGCTGATGTTGCCAGCAGATGGAGCCGGCGCTGCACCCGGCCGAGCACGAAGAAGGGCCCTCTGAGCTCTCTTCTGGTTCGGGTTGGGGTATGATGCCAAGTTGTGGAGAGACTTGACAGTCAGGCCTCGAAGAGGATTCTCGCCAGAGCTCTCATCGTCTTCATCGTCGGTCGAGTTGGCATCGACATGCTTCTTCACGACAGATGTGGGCATGGCACCAGCAGCCGGTGAAGCTTGATTGCTATCCATGCTGTAAGATGGCATGAGAGAGGAAGACGAAATGCTTCGGACGTCCAATTCATTCGGAGACTCAATGCTGTAGTCGGTGAGAGGGCTGACGGCGCGGTCGTAGTTCTGCTGAAGAGGCGAGTACTTGGGAATCTGAGGTGGGCGAGGACTGGTGGGTGTAGTGACGAGATTCTGGGATTTGAGAGGCAAGCCGGCAAGAACTGACTTGGGAAAGAGAGACAGCTCAGAAGCAGCGGCTCCCTGGGCAGGCCACTTGAGAGTGCGGCCGCGACGAACGGGAGGCTGGAGCTGCTGGGTGGTACTGGGGTTGTAGATGGTACCGGCAGTCGTGTAGGTTTGTCTAGGAACATCCTGCTGGAAGGTGCTGACAGATTGCTGGGTATAGGTCGTAGTGCCCGCCGCCGCCGACGAGGAAGAAGATAGATGATCCATGTTGAGATTCAGAGGCATCGCCAATACTTGGAAGCATCCAACAAAATTCGGAGACCCTGATATGGATAAGCGTTGGCCAAAGATGGATTTCTTTTGTGTTGATCCAGTTCGGGGAGTATTTCTCAGACGGTGAGCATCCAAAGGACTGCTGTGCTGCTGCTGTTGCTGTTGCCGTGGCAGATGAAGGAACGACTGATGATGAGACTGAGGAAGGAATCAAGAAAAGAATGGTGCCAACTGCTTTGGATGTAAAAGCTTCAGGTCATCTCATCTGGAAGTAGAGATGGGAGGTGAAGCTGTCACGAAGCGGCTGTTGACGAAAAATTGCAAGTTGAGGAGGGGTGATGGATGGGTTGGAAAAATAGATGGAGGGAAGACGAAAGGAAGAGGAGTTGTTGAAGTCAAGGGGAGGGGCCGAGGGCTGACGTTTTGCAAGGCAGGGTATCAATGGGCGTAGAGAGGACGGAAGGTGAGGTCGCGGTCTGAAGGTCGGATGGAAGGCGCGCTGGCGCGCTCGTAGGTGGGTTTCCAGCCAGGGAAGGAACGAGGTGTGAGGTGGGTGGAGGGTGCAGGCAGCCTTGCAGGTGAGTTGAAGGTGAAGTAGGAAGGCAGGAGCCTCGTCGAGGCAGCCCAACCCAAGGCGGCCTTGCTCCTTCCACCTTAAGCAAAAAAACATGCGCAGATGGCCAGATAAGACAAAGATGGTAGAGGGGACCGGGAAGCGAGGCAGGAGTCGAGTAAGAATCTTCAGATCAGTGCCTGCATCTCAGCCTTGCTCTCGTCGGTCTCTTGCGGTAGAGCAACGCAGAAATTTCAACGCCCAAGAAGACAATACCAGCAAGGTTGCAAGGCAGCCCGGTGGGAATGCCAAAGTTCTAAACGCCAACGCTCTGCGCAGTCGATGCGGAATACCTCGAGAATGAAAGCATACCGCTGCCTAGTAAGAAGCCTGTATGCGAGCCCGTAGTATATCTGTCATCCTCTGTAACAGTTCTGTCGAAACCCCTTTCCCGAAGCCACTCAGTCTGATTTTGAAGTTGCTAGAACCATTCGGAACGACAAGATTCTCCTCGAGGGCAGGAAGAACGACCGGCGGAGAGTCAAACACCCACAAGTGATATCGACACAATTCCCCTTCAGTGGCCGTCGTTCTGTTGGATGGGTGTTCGGGACTATCGCATGGGATTGTGGCAAAGCAGACAATATAATGGCTATGCTTCTCGAGGTTCATTCTGTCGAGGAGGTGCTTGGGAGAACGCACAATACCAGTGGCGTACATGTTGTCGTCGGATCTCGGAATACGGGATAAAGACGGATCAAAGATCAGAGTGAATGGGAATGTTCCGACGAAAGAGCGGTTGGGACGAAAAGTTATCTGATTCAAGGCCAGCTTTGATTCATCTACAATCCAAGGTAAGCAAGCGAGCTCCTCGTCTTATATCTGATGAACCTTTGCAGTAGGTTGGCCTAAGGTAGATGTCCTCGACCCCTCCCCACCTGATGGCTCGAAGCCTGTGACCAGTCACCCAGAAAAAACAAACTCACGCTCCTGATTTCCTCACCGGAAAACTCAGCATATCAAAATCCACCTTCTCCGTCCACCATCGCCAACGGCTAAAACAGCTGGCGCCCTACAATAGTTCAACGCTCCAACGAAACACACAAAAGGTCCGCATACGCAAGAGCCACATAACCACAACGATCAAAGGTTCTTAGGCGTAGACATGTCGGGTTACACGATCCCCGAGCGCCCCCTTTCCCCTCCACCACACCTTTCCTTCGTTCCCCGGCCCAATGAACAAGCAGGATTGTCTCTCACCATTCCCCTTGCGAGCAGAACAGAGAAAAAGCCTCTACTCTCTCTTGAGTATGGACGACCATCAACCAATTATCCCGACAAGTACGCCACAGGACACCCACGCCAGGCCAGCGAAATGTCAAAAGACCAGAGACCTCAAAGCGCTGAATCAGAAGGGCCTCTCAAGTCAGAGTTCGCTGCATTTGGCTATTGCTCCCCTTAGCTGCCGTGCTCGACCGGCCAATCTCACGGAAGGTCTTCCATGTCCGGCTCAGGAGTCGAGAAATAAGGTTGGTGGTGGCTTGCTTCCTCTTCCCCAGAGGTTCTCGTGTCACTGATTTAGGGCTTCAACCTTACCCCCCTGACAGGTGGTAGGTTACCTCAGGCCGTACCTTGACATCTGGGGCAACCCATCTCCAAGCTTGGACTCGCCCACATCTCGCTTCCTGCGTCACGAGACTAAACCCAAGCAAGCAGAATCGAAGCCATCCAGCAAAGTGCCCGAAGGGTAGATAGCAAGGAGGCGTTCGTCCGCCCCGCCTCCCCGCCTCCCCGCGCCCCCCCCCCCCCCTTCTGTCGTACCGTACCGTTTGACCAAAGAGGTAAGAAGGACTCAAAACAATGTCGGGCCGTAGACAGCCATCCAAGCTGGAAGGCTGTTTCAGCCTAGAACATCTTCGATCTCTGGGGCGCTTCTTACGTATTCAACTCCCATTCCCCCAGCCTAAACTCTATCGTAGCCGCCTTCGTCCGTAAGATGGCCTGATGTTGCAGATCTCGAGGGGACACCTGGCAGCCCTATCCGCTGTTAGCCCGCATGACAAAGTCCATTGTTGGTCCGGGCTAGACACTAAACTGAGTCGGTCCGTACGTCGCTCGTTGCCTTGATCAGCAAAGAACTGCCAAGACTTTACCAGGTGAAGAAGGTAGCTGAATGTCAGCTCGTCCAAGACGTTTCGGATGATTAGGCCGATTGTACGCTCAGGTCCGAGAGCCTCCAACTACCATGGCGCATCTTCGTAACTGCAATTCGTGTTAGTGACAGGATGAGTAGCCGCAAACCGTTGATGAGAGCACATGCAAGTATAGGTCACTGTATATGGCATAGCGCCAACGAAGTAGTGTAATCTCTCGTATTCTCTCTGCCATCACCCTTCACTATGATACCAAGGTCTCGCACGCATTCTCAGCGAACAACGTATGTCAGGCACCAACCGCGGCGAGACCCAGCTTTCCTCGATTCCTAGCTTCCTCGTCACATGCAAGATAGCTGAAGGGCGGGCTCAAAGAGCCAAGCCGACGATCCTGAAACCATTTGTTTTTAATCATATCCACACACGCCACCATGAAACCGCTCATCAAGAAAAAAGGTCGTAATCAACCGCGACCAGATAGCCTACACATGCTTCAACAGTATTCTATCATATCCCACATGCTTTGTTCCAGGATCGTTGAGCTTGAGAAATCAGACATGATCCAAAGAGTTGGCTGCCCTAGTAGGCAACAGTGTCAGGGAGCCTTGGGATGCAACTCTGAATCATCTAAAAGAGAAGAAAGGCCAAAGTGGCCCGTGTTTGTAGTAAACGACTCAGGAAAAGGTTTGGTGAATGTTGGAGTCGAAACTAATTTTCATCCACGCTGCTTCGATGCAATGAAGCATTTGAAAGAAGAGAATGCCCGTTTTGAAGAAATCCACGAGTCCGGTGTATGTACTGGGCGGACGAGAACTGAATATTGCTTGGGGTATCGGCTGAAGGACATGACTGTAAAGACATCATGAGCCTGTGCTGAGACTCGAAAATTGCGACTCGTGTTGTTCAAGGAAGGTTGAGAAATGAAATGCCAGGCATCCCACTATTGGTGTATATACTTGGCGAGTTGACTCGACTGACGAGAAAGAACCAATTACGGTCGAGTGAAAAGGGAAGGGATTGTAATTAGAGGCCTTGCGGATACGCACTGCCGGGTATCATGCCGGTGCCTCCTGCTCGGGATGGGGGGCCGAGGCGACTGCCTGGAAGCTCAAAGTCGGGGTTGTTGTTCAAGAGCATGTCTTGCCTTCGCTGTTGGACGGGTCGTCGGGGTGGCATCGGCTGACCATACCCTGGCATTGGCGGCGCAGGATTCCACCTCGGGTTTACCCCTCTCTGGGATATTGAGGTGAAGTTGGACAGATCAGACTCTGCGCCAGGACTACGTGCACCGGCATCCGCATGAGCGTCATCATACATATTGGGCGCGGGTAGAGGTACCTGAAGGCCAGGCGGGGGACCTGCTCTTTGAGCCGGTGCCGGTGCTGGCGCGTCCGCGAAGCGCGGATCGACATCTTCGTAATAATCGCTGGCTGCTGGCGCAGGCGAGCTTCGGTTGAGCATCTCAGCAGAGCGTTGCTGTTGCAGCGGAGACGCCGTGCGTGATGAGGCCTGGTTCTGGTTCCAAGCCTGACGAGGTGGGACATAGGCACTAAAGATTCAAAATCAGCAAAGCTCTCTTTTTGTTTCAAAGATTCGAAGGACTTACTCGTCTTGGCTGTACCTGCTCGCCTCGCTCATGTACGTGTCGTGCCTCTGAGGGTGAGACCTGTTTCCGCCGTTTTGCTGCTGCTGGAGCCCGACCATACCGGCAATGTCAGCGTCACTGTCACGGAACTGACCGAAACCGGCAGGTGGATGCGCAGGGCTTCCTGTAGCGGCGTCCATCTCAACCGCTTGGCCAACCATTGGCTGTCCGTCGTGGCCAGGGAGAGGCGGGGGTGATTCAGCTCTCGGTAAGCTCTGACGCTGAGGGTTGTAGGCTTCATAGCCCTGCTCTTGTTGAGGGATAGATGGGAGAGAAGGGTTTGTAAGGTTGTTCGAACTGGTGTATCCCGGGGCCATATCCATGGAACGACGTCCGTAGGGGCCGCCAGGAGGAGGACCACCGTAGCCGTTGGCTGGGCTTGGACGACGGTCGTACGGTCCAGGACCTCCGGGACCACCAGGTCCGGGTTGATAGCCTGGCGGAGGTGGTCGGCCCCCTCTCATACCGTTTGGTCCAAAGCCGCCGCGAGGGGGTGGCGGGCCATATCCGCCCCGACCACCAGGTGGAGGGCCACCATAACCTCCTCGTCCGGGAGGACCTCCATAGCCACCTCTTCCTGGAGGCGGAGGGCCGTAGCCACCATATCCGCCTCTGCCACCGTAGCCACCACCGCGCCCTCTGAATCCTCCAGGAGGCATACCGCCCCTACCTCTCATGCGCTCCTGCGAGGGACCTCTTCTTGGGCCGAATCCATCTTGAGGCGGCAGCGGGTTTCCGTAAGGATCTCTCTGAATCGGTGGGACAGAACCAGATCGTGAAGGAGGAGCATCGCTAGCAGTCATGACGCCTTGAGAGCCATTGACGGGACTTCTTGCTGTGAGAGGGATACGTTCATCGCTGACCTGGTCATTGTTCTTCTGAGATTCGAATGAGGCAAAGGTTGGCATCTTATCAATGCCGTTTCCTCCGCTGACAACGGGAACAGTAGGCTGGGAGGCGACCGACGCAGCAGTCTTTACCTGAGCCTCGCGATTGTAGTAATTCTCTCCGCTCATCTCAGCGTTCTCGGCGATTCTCTTCTTCCTGGCCTTTCTGCTGACCAACATGCGGCGCATAGCACACGAGACCAGACCGCTCATTCCGACAAGAATGGTGGCAGCAAGGACGATGTATGAGCCCCATGCCATGTGAGGGACGAAGAGGAGAACATCAACGAGGAAAGCCAATAGACAGATGAGGAAGTCGATGAAAGAGAAGATGAAGAGGGCGAGAAGGTATCTCGCAGAATGAGAGGGCGAGTGAAGGTGAGCGACGGCAGCCATGATGAACATGATGAGAGTCGCGAGGGCAGCGACAGGATGTACAATCAAGATGGCTGACAGAGTGTTTCGGGCAGAGTCTGGGAGGTCAAAAGCCCCCTTGCTGTCCGCGGCTCCAAAAACTCGTGCTATAGAGAGTGTCAGCCACAGTCCCCCGTTTCGGTAGTCAGCAGTGTACCACGTTGAATTACTTACTCGTGTCATAACCAATCTCAGGGCCTTCGCAAGTGCCGTCTGCCTTGCAGACGCCAAAGACTCCAAAGTTGGCTCCCTTGAAACTACCCAGCGGAATAGCCTTAATAATCGGGGTCGATAGGGTAGACAGCAGAAGCAAGGCGAAGGCCGCAAAGAGCAGCACCGACATGGGGGTTGCCGGTCGCAACATGATGGCGGTTTGTCGTCGAAGAAACCTGCTTCCAAAGAGTGGTACGGTGAGCCGGCGTCGTCAAGACGCGGCAAGTTGAAGGGTGGGTTGCGCCTGAGAGATTCGGGTGTCGTCGTCGAGAAGTTGTTCAGGGTCGGCTAGTGTAAGAAGAAGTCGTTGCGCGGCATCGTCTACTGGTTGGCAAAAGTCGTGGTCGAAAATAGTGACATGAATGAGAGTAACGAAGTGCCGACGAGAGCCGTATGGCAATAGATTCCTTTCTCTTTCTTTCCTGCTAAGCCTCTTGCTCGATTGTCCCCCAAGTCTGCTCAGTCGGTATCCTAACGGGTGCTGCTGGTATTGGCGCTGAAACAATGTCGCTAGGAGACAGGATTTCGGTCGACGAGTTTAAATCAAATCGATTCGGACGAGGTCGGAGAGAGTCGTTGAAGTTCTGTCGTGTCCGAAATGCAGGGCTGCATCCAGGGGAATTGAGTTGAGGTTGTGCGAAGTGAATAGGATCGAGTTCCTCCTGTTCGACCTGGAGAAGGGAAGAGGGAGAAAGAGACAAAGGTACGCACGATCTGGGGAGGAAGACGATGTGGGCGGGTGAGTGGGAGAGTGGGCGACTTGTGTGGAGGGAGCGAAGATGGAAAAGTGGGGTCTTGACCGTGGGTGCAGCAGGAGTGGGCAGTTTTGGGCCACACGGCAGGGGAGCCAAGGGGATTTGGGAACAGGGGGGTGCAGTCAAGTGTGGCAGAGGGGGGTGCAACGAGAGAAAGGAGATGGGAGGCAGGAAAGACGTTTACCACCACCACCACCACTACGGATACCATGAGTGCCACTGGTTCTGGAAGAGTGAGGTTCCTAAGATAGATAGCCCAGGTTTTGGTGCAGGATTCCAGTGTGATAGCGGGAGGCGTTGGACAGGTTGCGTAGCTGGATGTGGCTGGGGCAGTGGCCAAGCTGCACTCGACATGCCTATTTATCCAATTACCTCGATTTAGAACTGCAACCAGCCAGCTTCATTTGCATGGCCTGCTTTGCGAGGCTGATGATTGACCATGAGTTCTTGTTTTGCAGGCAACACGTCCTGTGGTGCTTGTATCGATTGTGCCTTGAGGGCGAAATGTGTCCGTCGCCCGTGATGGTACCTATTATTTCTCTATCTCCACCCCCAGGGTGAAAGATGGGCTCATTCTGCCTTCCCTGGAGGGACGGATAAGATACGTACCGTTTACGAGTCCAGCGTGCAAGTAAAAGTGCACAGCCCACCTAAGGTAGGTAGCAAACAGCTTGCAGGCACCAAGCAGCACAGATTGGCAGAGAGTCGAGAGGCAGTTACGCCGCAAGCCGCACGACAGGGTCGGGTCGAGGGCGACGAGATTGGAGTGCGCGAGAAACGGAGACGGGCCTGCATCTCCATGCAGTCAGACACTGGGTTCACATCGTCTGCCACGAGAGCCTGGAACCCAGATGCCCCCAAGTGGGCTCTCTGCAGCGGGTGTCGTGCCCGCTAACTCGTTGGCTCGAATCAATATTCTTCCCCCCGCCGCCGAGATGCAGCGCAGGTTGGCCCCAATATCGATGGGGGGCAGGCACGAACAGGCCGGCCGTACTCCAAGAATCCAAATGGTTGGTACCTGAGCAATGTACCGTCCTTAGCGCAAGACCGGAGGTATTCTTTGTTCCTCAACGCGTGTCCAACTGTCCCCAGCAGCCACACCATTCCATCTCTCTCTCTTCCCAAGACATGCTACACCGACTGCGTGGCTTTCCCAAAAGGTCAATCTTCTCCGAGCTCGACAGGACAATGCCCTTGTTCTCGCGGAAGTCTGGTCCGGCCTCCATTTTGACCAGAGACATTGAATGCCATTAGGCTTCATCACAGAAAACCGTTATTCTGTCTTCTAAAGTAGCTCCGGCCAATAGGAGCCTCTTACGAATGATGTGAGTACGCTTCGTCTACGACTAAGGGACCTGATCACACATTCATTTACACGGCTGACAAGCCATCCATGGAAACACAAGTGTACCTTAATAACAAGCGGTATACAACGCAGACGGGACGAATACTTGCAAAAGAGCCAATAGATCCTTTGTCACCAAGCCAGGCACAAACGACTGCGGCTAAGCTTCCCTTCCATTAGTTTGACCCCAGGAAGCCGGGACCGAGTCCGCTACCATCAGCTCACAGATAGTAGCACCACAGGACCCGACTCGAATCTCTGACCAACGAGAAAAAAGTCGAGCGACGACCATGTCATCTCTAATTTCCCAAATTACGACCGATATCACCCCGACAAAGACGGAGAGTGGGAAAAAAAAACTCAATTCATCCCCGTCTAGTCAGGTCCCGGTCGATTCTAGGTCGGCCTATCTGCAATCGACTGCACGCAATCGCGTGCTTACCCGGCAGGCCCTACTTATCATTCCGGCATTCAAATCCGCGTGAGCTTTTCATGGGAAACCATTGATTGAAATATGGCAAGCCACGGACAGTTACGTTACGGAGTACGATGCACTGAGTGCTACTTTTCTGGACCCTGGATACCTGGAAGCTCAGGACTTCTCTCTACGGATAGTCTGACAGTGTCACTCACAACCTTGCCCAGATCAAGCAGGTCGAGATCGAGCGCTCGCGAGTCTATGGCCCCCTGGAATTCAACAAAGCTTAGCAGGATGAGTAGTGGAATGGCGATGGATGCACCGTGCCGGCAAGCCCTCATCATTCTCGTCCTCTGCAATCACCCCGCCGCTCAAAGATCCTAGTTGGGACAACCCCACCAATCATATCTTCTGATGATCCGAATTAGCCCTCTAGTGTTGTGCTTCCAAAATCCCAATCACTCTGTGAGCGATGCATCTCTCATGATCGTACGGAACCTCAAGGTCTTCATCATTGCAGGATTCGTGAGCTGACTCCCTATGCTGCTTTTGACTTGACTCCTGCAAACTTGCAAGCAGCTTCAGACTCCTCCGTGGTCAAACGGACGACGCAGAGGCATAGTATCGTGAATTAAGGCCCCCTTGTCGGGATGGAGCACCAGAAACTCTCTCGGTATCCTGGGCCCAGGGGTCCACGCAACGCCGTTGTCGGTCGCATCCCTACACTGCAATTACAAGCATCCACTCTGCCTTCGATAAGTTCCAAGCAACTATTGTAGCGACTTGAGAACCGTGGATCGCCCGCGTAGCAGATACATGCGACCACCGCTGTGCTCCACGTCAATCGGCGGTAAGCGTTCATTTTGCCATATTCCTCGTTGGTATGCACCGTTTCTTTGAGCCCTCCACGGATATATACTTCACCCATTGAACCGTCGGGTTCGCGAGGCATGAGGCCAAAGAGAAACAATAAGTTGTGGCACCCAGACTGCGTTGACCAACTTGGTTCCAGCAACAGGTACCTGTCGACATCAACGTCAAGAGATTCAGGCGTATCGGAAATGCGAGAAGCAGCCCCCGGTGCCCAAGACCACAGCGACGACGGCCATGCTCTGGATCGAAAGTCGAAACCAAACCGCTCCGCTGACCAAGACAAATAGCCCACCGCCGCAACGACGCATTGTCGGGCGCTAGCATCGCTACCCTGGGCTATTTCAGGCTGTCCAAGCTTTGGCCGTGCTTCCTCAGCCAGTATGGAAGAAGCTCCTCAGACACGGGAAGCATATCAGGTCGCCTCGAAGACGACCTTCGCCCAGAGTCTCTTCCATTTGTTCCACGGCGTCGTTGGCCGAAGTGCTTCGCGCGTGATGCCTACCGTGATGCCGGCGTTGTGGCTGTGGTATTCACTTCTTCAGATGAGGAGAATCTTGAGGCAACTGGCTGACAACAGGCGACTCTGTGACACGGGCGCTTCGCCGTCTCAGATTCTGAGGCAGGCACCAAGGTTGTTCGCCCTGCAACTCCTGCGGTCTTCCATGCCAAAACCCCCACAGTCCATTCTGCCGCCAGCTTTCAGTCAACCCGGAACGCAGCAGCCCATGCCGCCCGCCGTATAACCCGCCTGTTATGAGCGAGAAGCGAAGCCATCTTGATGAACTCTCAGTCTTGAGCGAGTCAAAATATGAACTGCTCTTTGATCGACGGCTTGTTCTGAGCCCCTTTGATCATGACGGAGCTTACCCCCTGGGCGATTCCGTTGTTAGACGCATAGTCATGTCGGCGCCATTGCTTCCCGTCTTCAACTCTCCAGGCCCCACGACGTGCCAGAACGACTCACATCGAATTCCTAGGTCGGATACATTAGCTACCACTGACACGCGGCGGTCCTGGTCTGACTATGTCTATGCAGAGACGCCACTCTGAAAGTTGGGGTTTTGTGGCCAAGCTTCTGCCGATTGCTACGTAGAGTCTTTAGACGATGCTTCATCCATCGTCCTCCTACCCTAAGACCCGGTCAAACCTTGCCAAGTTTAGCCCATTGGCTTTGTGCCATGGCCTACTCAATCATCTGTATAGCTCTTCGCCAAGGCCCTCAGCTCATGTTGGGGTATTCGGAGAATAAATTGCCCACGGTAAACAGACTGAGCTCTGCGTCCAATGTCGAGACATGTCTCGGTATGTAGGCACAGTAAGAGGCTCCTGCACGTCAGCCGAAGCGTCGCACCACGGTGGGTGAGGCCAGGTGGTCCATCGAAACCACGACCAAATTATCGAACCTCATTATTTTCCTGACTCAAATGTTTCCGTAGGCAACTTACAACCTTTGTATTGCCTAGAACGGCAGAAAACTGGAACTTCTCCGCTGACAATGGAATGGCGCCCATCCCATCAAAACGTTCTATGATTGCCTCTGGTCTTACTGAACCCACGCGGACCATGTCGATCTGATGGGTGTGCAAGGACACTTGGTTCATGCACCCATTCTTGCCAGACCCTTTAAGCTCAAACCAAGACGTCACGTCTATCGACCACTTGCGTCATGGTCAACCCGAGCGATGCTGCGTCTTCTATTCGCACGTCGGATCGGATCACAGTGCCCCTAGGTAGTAGTGTGCAACCTCGGTTTCTGCCACAACAAGCAAGCACCCTCCTCTCACCAGCAATGAGAACTTCAGACGATGGAGTGGCCGACATGCCTTACATCGAGGTGACCGAAACCCGCTGAGCCGCTGGTTGCGGGAACGGCCGCCGCCTAACTAACTGCATAAGGTGCTGGCCAACATTTTTCTCTTCTTGTGTGCTGCCTTCCCCCTTCGTCACGACGTTTGGCATGTGGTGTCTGCCAAAGGGTTCAAGTGGCTGAAGCTGCCGTCATTCAAGCTTTGCCCATGAAATCGGCCCACAACCTCGCTTTTGTTTCACTTAATCTCAGGCACCGGACGCCGTCGATCCCCAATGCTTCAGAACGCGGCACTTTGGATGGAGCCACGGCCTACCCTGTCAGTCAGCCGGCGGTAAAGGGGGCACTCTGGTTGTATGGCGTACCACGTCGTCAACCTTGAAATAGGCGCTGGCCAGTTATAGAGCTTTTCACTAGGAGGTGAAGGCATCGAGGGGCAGAAAGTGGTTGATGCGCAATGCTGCTGGAGGTCTCATTGGCCTTTGGGCTCGGGTCGGTGACTTTCGTGATCTAGACCACACGCTTCGGAAGAGGTTTATTCAGGCAATTGCATTGAACGTGTCAATTAGACAAACGATAAGATGCCTCTTCTTCTTCTTCTAGGTTTGGTGTCTATTCCTTCCCATTGAAAAGTGCATTCCAGCTCTGCAGAAAGATCCGGCAGGTCTCGGATATAAGACTTGAGAATAGAGGTAGAAGATACGGATTGGGACTATCTCACAGTATTGCATGTTACCGCTCGACTCTGGAGTGACTCGGCAAACTTATTCTCATTCCTCCGTCATACTCCCTGATTACCCAAGGCTGACCAGCAAGGAAATACGCGAGCTTACGCAGTACGTTGTTGCTGCTGTTGCTGCAGAACAGACTAAACTCAACGTGCTCGACTGTTGAGTAATTACGCCGGGTCAGGGTTCGTGAGACCTCTTGGGTTCGTCAAAAAAGGCAAAAGGCCTCGTGCCGCTGTTTGAATCTTGACCAGAAAATACAGGCATATCAGCCAAACCTTGGGATCAACCATGGGGACCGTTCATCAGACATTGAATAGAGGCTCCTAGTCCTAACCTACTCTAGATCACTTACATGGAAACCACACCAGTTCACAGCTCATCATTCAATACTGACCTGTTCCTATCACCAGGTCCGAGGTGGGCACCTGCAATCGGTGCCGAAAGCGATCGGGCGGGGCCGGGGATAAGCGGATGCAACGGACGCATCGGTGCTTGATTCGCCGACGGAGATTTCCTTTTGGTGTGTGGATGGCGTACCTCGGTGGCCTGGCCCTCGTTATCGTCATTGATCTGACCTACCTACCTGACCCTGTGGCGCCAACGACAGATCCGGCGGCCGCGCCGAACCCGATTGATCTCAGACGGGACTTTTGCAACTTTTCACTCTCAACCTCAACCTTTTCTTTCTCTCCATTTTGTTGTCATTTCTCCCCCCTTAGACTTGAGGACGCAAGGTAATGGGAGCCTCTGACTTCCGCCTTCATTCCCTCTTCACACGTCGTCGCCATCACCAGTTATGTTACGTCAGAGCATAGCTGGTCTCTCCGCCGCGAGATCACCAGCGCAGAGATGCCTCTTCTCTACCTCCGCGGGCGCCGCGGGGCGTCATCACCTACTGCATAGTTCGAGATCGATACCGACAACGACCACAGCGACAAGGACAGCGGCGAATACGACGACATCACGACTCCTCTCCCACATCAGAACAGCCCGCATCCACACGAGCAGCACCCGCCGCGCCCTCATCCCCCCTTCGCCAGAATCCCTCGGCGCACCAAAAAAGGCGCGCACATACAAGCGCAGCTCCAAATGGCTGCGCCGCCTCGTCATCTTCTCCGCCGTCGGCGGCACGCTCTACCTCGCCGACCGACAGATCTACGCCTCGGGCTTCGCCCGCTCCCTCCGCACCTTCGGGACGGGCCTCCTCGTCGCCCTCGACTACAAGCTCAACTTCCGCCCCGAGCCGCTTACCGGCGGCACCGTGCAGGACCTGCACGTCCGCAACGCCGAGCGCCTGTTCGACCTGCTGCGGCACAACGGCGGGCTCTACCTCAAGATCGGCCAGGCCATCGCCATGCAGAGCGCCGTGCTGCCGCCCGAGTTCCAAAAGATGTTTGCGCGCATGTTTGACGACGCGCCGCAGGACGACTGGAGCGACGTCGAGGCTGTGATCCGCGAGGATTTCGGAGGGCGGAGCGTCGAGGAGGTGTTCGGCGTCAGCTTCCGCGGGGAGGAGGGCAAGGGCGTCATGGAGAGGCGGGCGAGAGCGAGCGCCAGCGTCGCGCAGGTGCACTGGGCGCGGCTGCCCGACGGCCGCGAGGTGGCTGTCAAGATCCAGAAGCGGGAGATTGCCAAGCAGATCACCTGGGACCTGTGGGCGTTCAAGACGGTCGCGTGGATCTACAGCAGGTGGTTCGACCTCCCGCTGTACAGCCTCGTGCCCTTCATCACGGAGCGGCTGGAGCTCGAGACGGACTTTTTGAACGAGGCCAAGAACTCGGAGACGATGCGGGACCTGATCAACTCGGAGAAGGGCCTCCGCGGCAGGGTGTACGTTCCCAAGGTCTATCCGGAGCTCTCGACGCGGCGCGTCATGGTGACGGAGTGGATCGAGGGCACGCGGCTGTGGGATAAGCAAGGGATCAACGGGCGGTGGATGGGCGGGTACGGCAAGGGGTCGCCGGGCGTCCACGGCGCGCAGCTCCAGCCGCCCGACATGGCCACCGTCCGCCGCGAGCTCCGCGACCGGCCGTACGCCGAGCAGTTTAAGCCGGAGCGGAGCGAGTGGAAGGGCCGTCGCGGGCGCGGCGGCCTGGGCCTGTCGAGCAAAGAGGTCATGACGACCATGATCGACCTCTTCTCCGCGCAGATTTTCAAATGGGGCGTCGTCCACTGCGACCCGCACCCGGGCAACATCTTCATCCGGCGCCTGCCCAACGGGCGGGCGGAGCTGGTGCTCATCGACCACGGCTTGTACGTCTACATGTCGCCCGAGTTCCGGCACCAGTACGGCGTCTTCTGGAAGGCGCTCATGACGTTCGACAACAAGACGATTGAAAAGGTGACGACGGAGTGGGGCATCAAGGCGGCGGATCTGTTTGCGAGCGCGACGCTGATGAGGCCGTACGAGGGCGGCGACGAGCGCACGCGCAACGGCATCATGAAGGAGCTCGAGGGCAAGACGCCGGCGGAGCGGCACTACGAGATGCAGCAGCGGATGAAGCAGGGGATCCGCGACATGCTGGCCGACGAGGAGAAGTGGCCCAAGGAGCTCATCTTCATCGGGCGCAACATGCGCATCGTGCAGGGGAATAACCAGTACCTCGGCAGCCCCGTCAACCGCGTCAAGATGATGGGGGAGTGGGCGAGCCGCAGCCTGTTTGAGGACCCGAACCTGCCGTGGGCCAAGAGGGCGGGCAACGCGTGGCGGCATTTGCTGTTCAAGGGCGTGTTGGCGCTGACGGATGTCGCGTTTTACTTCTTCAAGGTGAAGCAGCTGCTCGGCTTCGGGGGCGGCATGGAGGACGAGATGGAGAAGAGGATGAAGGATATCGCGCAGGATTTCGGAGTTGAGCTGCAGCATGAAGTGTTTGAGGGTTAGACAGTGAAGATATGTGAATAGCGCAGTGGAGAAGAGTAAAGCTTTAGAGTTGGAGAAGTAGAGAAGGTTCATTAGATTCGGGTTCTTGGTGTTTAGGGGCTCGGTAAGAACCTTATAGAGGCCTTCGATATAGGAAAGATACCACTCATATGTTTAATGTTCAAGTCCCAGGCTGTCTCTTTTGTGTGCATATACGAAATCCGAACGACGAGAGAAAACCATCCTGCCGTGCCGACAGAATGGACTATGCTGAGGCTTTTGACTTCAGCTTTCTTATCTCAGTAGTGAAACTTCTGCTCGACATACTAGGGTATTCAAGGACAGCCCTTGGTCTTTGTCTGCTCTACAATGTCGGGAGCTCGTTACTTCAAGCTGCCAGCTGCTTCGTTCATCTTCCGCCACACCACGCGAGGGTCTTGCTCGTCATTGCTGAACAGTTTGGTCTGGCTTGTAGTATAGGTGATGACCAAGACGCTCAGGAACCGAGCATACACACGGCAAATAGGACCTACATGCCCCCTCACCATGACGTATCTTCTCTCTTGGGTCCTCCCCTTCTCCAGCACTAGCCAGTCGGAGATGCGTGTATTTTGGATGAGTGCTGTTTGTTATTGGAAACAGCAGAGGAAAACAATAACTTGCAGAAACCTCACGGTCTCTTTGCTTGAGAATATATGGCATCATGGAACAAGAACACCAGGTATTCGAGGAATTTCATACTTGAAACATGGCTTCAGTTGCATAACCCTGGCGGGAGCTCAAAACGCCTCCATGTCGGGCATCTTTTTAACCTCAGCTACCTTTCTTTGCTCTTCTATGGTCATCAATACTTTATTCTAATCGGAATACCAGAGAAATAGCGCCGAGAGAAGAGGAAGAGTGTGAACACCTCTTGACACCCGGATAAGGGAGATTCCCGGGTTGCTAGATACTAGCCCTGATGAGGAGGGAATCAATGTCTACACGAATCCATCTGACATCTTCGACTCCAAGCCTGGAAAGCGCCAGAGAGGTCTGCCCGAGAGGCCTATTCCCCAATTCCATTCGTCCGATAGCCATGCTCTCCCGCCATCACCGGCACAGGCCGACTTGGATCGAAACAAGCCCGACGGGTAGCTGGACTCAAATTCTGAGTCGAACGACAGCGATGATGGCTTTCGACCCGCACACTTCCGCCTAAAGTGTCCTCGTGACGGCAAGGACGAAGGTATATACCCTCGTGGCAAAGTTAACAATACACTTTGTTCAGTTTACAGGTCATTGGGACATCTCGCTAAATAGGTACGCCATGAATCTGTCTAACAATGTCTAAATGAACGACTTCTACTGACTGGCGTTTACGAAATCCACTCCATCAAAGATCAATGAAGACTGAGAATCCCGGTTCGTCAGCATGCTTGAGAGAGCCTGCTAGAACTTGTGAGCTTGGTTCCGGTAGTACGATACCAGGCGTGTGTGTGTGTGTGTGTGTGTGCTGGACTCGCCTACTAGAAGCAGTTCCAAATCGTCCTACTATATAAGAAGACTCTTTGCGTCCGCGAGCAATAGATTCTTACTTGGTGACAGGGAGGACAGTGACCCCCCTAGTTGAAATATTTCAATCGCGGCAACACCTTGGTAGCTTGGGAACCTTATTGGCGGCGGTGATGAAGTGGCGTAGGTCCTTAAGTGAACGTAGGGGACGACGAGGACCTTCACGCCTGTCCACATAGCAATGGCCGGTTCCAGGAACGCAATGCTCTTTCCAGCACTAATTCCTGCGATGTAGATAATGTCGGACGACCCGTCAGTGATCGCCTTAAGCATGAGGGACTAACATAGCCATAGCTTAACCTTAATAAGCCATTATCCTAGGTTTATTACGTCGATAAGGTACTATTACTAGGCCTCGTCCCTGGGCCTGGGTATATATCAAGGCGTATACGTCACGCTGGCTTGCTAGATTCGAGCAGAGAGTGCTTCTGTGTGCTCGATGAAGACAGACCCCGACCACTATGGCTGGACGAAGACAGACACCAATCACGATATTCGTTCAGTCTATCTAGGCCTCGAGGAGGGCCTCACCCAGTGCCTTCTCACACCGGGACAAGGGGATACATTCCTTGGTGTTCCTATGAACAGAGTGGGCGAATGAGAATTATTTATAAGGTCCAAAAAGCCAGGGTCATACAGAGTGCAGAAGAGTTCCCGACTTATCTGTCACACTGCTAGGGGTAAACTTCCGCCTCCTCGCAACCCAAGACGATGGTGCCTCATCAACTCACGGATGCCAGCAGCAACTCTAGAAGCAGAGAGATTCTATAACAAGATGATGGAAACATGCAAGGCAAAATGAACACCGGTCTTCTCCCACCCCTTTTCACCACGGATATCGCAGTTCCAAATCGCACTTCGCTAGGCCGCCTTGCAGACTTCGTCAAGATAGAAACCTGTCTAAACAACCAAATTGACTAAGGGCAACAGACTACATTCGGAAGCATTTACAACCTCACCCTTGCTGGACTGCGTAAGAGAAGGGTACACGCAATGTTTGACAAGTGCAGCAACCTAACCGAGTACCGCCGGCTCACTCGGTTGCGGTGTAAGGCTGATGCAAAACAATGAACACCCACTTGCCCAGGTAACCTTGTTTCTTACCACCCTGGCTCGGTAGATGTCCATTTGTGGGAATCTATATCAGACAGTGGCTGGTTTACAGTTCGTCAAGAAGGCAGTCGCTAGTAAACCTGCTGTCGCGCGCGAGAGAGACTGTTGTACCAGGCTAAGAATGAGCACAAAGCCCCCTCATGAGTATGGAATCGTCGAGCTTCATGTCTACGGCGCTCGATGGGCTGGCGTGACGGCCTCAGAGTTCAAGCCAGCGACGCAGGAAACAGAACCTCAAGAGTTATGAAGTTAAGCAGTGCCTTGGGCCCCGGAGCCTCGACTCGATATAATGTATGGCATGGGAGCGGGAGAGGCATCAGCCAGCGGGCCGATGGGGGGCGCCACCCGAGCGAGCAGGGCGTCAGGGCGCTGGACACCTGGGGTACGGAAGCTGTTTCCGCGATATTGCGGCTCACGGGGATCTTCCCAGACCTGGTTGAATGAGATGCCAGGGTTGGGTAGGCTCACACGAAACCACCGGTTCTTTATGAAGCCGCCCGATAACATGAGGGGAATACTGATATTGGCCGTGGTTTACGTATGGAATTGCATGAAGTCGAGTTAAGCTTAGGGCTATGAGAGGGGATCAGCAGACATTAGTGTGCCTTTTATGTAGTAGTCTTGTCTCGGTGCCTGCCATTTGAAAAGGCAACCGACTTGTCTCACACCTCAACATTCAAGGCTGAAGCCATGGTGGTATGTATGGAAGGAGGTCTAGACTGGATGGTATTTGTGCTCCCTACCAGGCCAGCAGCAGTGAGGCCATGCGGAAATGAGAATGAGAAAAAAAAATCAAGCAACACATATTGGACCCCTGGAATGTGGTTGTACTTTGTTCCACAAGCTAAAAGCATTGTAAAATTGGAGCGCCGATCGATCTCGGACAATTTGAGAGGAATTTTTGGGATGAGATGGCATGAAGGAGCGCGTGGTTAATGTGAAACAAGGGCCATTTCGGCGTCGGAAGCCCCACAGTTCATGGGGACGGGAGCCGAGAGGAAAGAGGGGCCGTGGATGGGGAGCGAGATTGGCTGGTTATGGGGGGGCTCGAGTGAGAGGTGACAAGGCGGTTGAGGGTTTATTAGAGTTTTGAGGACAACCGTGTGAATGAGCCTAGAGCATTTTGACAGTTAAGTTGCGTGATGGTTTGCTGCTGGTGCTTGGTGTTAGTGGGTGTGTAGGGCAGGATGACGGACGGCAGGCCAGCGGCAGTTGTATGTTGCAATACCAGATCGTCGTCCACATCTGGACTTGTCAGTGAGGTAGCATGTCGACGATCTTCCGGTGAGCATTCGGGAGAGAGCGAGTCGGGTCGACCAGCGCACAAGGCGGGCAGCGAGAGCATAGACGATTCCATCCGTGCCACGAGCCCTGCAAGCTACGGTATGCCGCGTAAAAAGGCAGACAGTCAACCCACCATTCCAGTGATTGGATTGCTGCAGTACCACTTTGTACGATGGCGGGCTACACAAGCTCAATAAATTGAGTTGGCTTCGGGGAGCGATGCTGTAGGATGCCGAGCGGTTGTGTGTGTGTTAGCAAGCACAAGTGAACGTAAATTGCCAAGACGCCTCTGTTCCCCTTCGAATATTCGATGACCAGTCAAACTTTAGGGCAAGGAAGGCTTTATCTAAGCTCTAGGTCAAGAAGCAAAAGCGAAACCTTCGCGAAGACCACGCGTGACAGACGCGCGGGAAGCATGATGAACGGGAACCAACGAGCAAATACTGAGTTGGCTGAAGGTGATTGGCCAGGGGATGAAGTTGACGAGATGCAGGTGGGTAGGGAATCTGGGAGTTGCAAAGTTGCAAAATGCAATCACTGGATGCAATCTTCAGGGGTTGCCTGGGCCTGAGGCACGTTTCTTGGATTGTTTTTGCTGGGGAGGCAGGTTTGTGATCTTTTGTCGCGGTTGCTTCAGGGAGGGTCCCTTTCAGCGAGAGTCTGGGACGGGCTTCCTCTCGCCTTCCGTTACATCTGAAAGCGCTCGAAACTCGGTCCTGGGAAGGCGCTTATCCGTGTAAGCGAGTACGGTCTCTTACCACCTAAGGTACCTTGAGGCACGGATACTCCAAGGAATGTTCAAAGTATTTCGCCCCATTATGTAGACTTACGCGGCTAAATAAAATGGTGAGATGACTTTTGGTGATGTCTGAGACGACAAGAAAGTTGACGACGAAAAAGCAAGCTCTTCTTCAGGCGGAGAAAATGTTCCCATGCGCCAACCTCAACGGTCCGTAACGTCATTCTCGGTGTTCCGGACTCCCAGCCTTGTTTGTGTGTTAATTGAAAAGGGGAAAGAAAAAGGGGCAGAAGACGATGCGGTAATTCTTGTATCGGGGACTAGTGTTGGTTTAGTGGGACACCGTACAATGCATGAACACGGTGTAGAGATTGCGTTAATGAGATTAATACTGCCAGTGGCCGATGCCCAGCAGTTCACCACCATGCAATTCGGGAAACATGCATTGGAAGACTACGGGATTCCGCATCTGCTGAACTGCGAGCTTGAAGAATCCAATCATTTCGGATCTGGCACGTTTGATGCCGACATTCTGAACTTCGTACAGAAGTCACTGGCTCAGACTAAGGTAGGTAAGGTAGACGGGCCCAGAGATAAGAAGCCAACTGGCTGGAGAGTTCAAACGGTGTTTCTGTCAACGGGGGAGGGGATCCATTCCCTCGTGGTGGGCGCGCGGGCGGGCGAGACCTTTTTGGGTGCTTGGAGCCTTGGGCAGCTCTTGGTGGCCCCAATGGCGTTATTAGCTCTCGTTAGTGGCTCTGGGGGCCCTGGGCTGGGTTAGCGAGCTGTTAGAGCCTGGCTGCGTTACACGCCATGCGGAGGTTGGAGGTGTTTTCTCGTGGAGCATGATGAGCATCGAAAGAGGAGACGACTGTCTAGACTCCTGGACGAGGGGTGAGGATTCTGAAGGAGAGAAGTGTGAAGGGGTCAAGGGGACCACTTCAGGAGAGGAGCGTTGGGGCCATTGGGCTACCTATGGTACTCCGTCTGGTAAGGTACCTACTTAGTTGGCCCATGAGAGCAAACCACATCACTCCCAGTCTCTCAGACGAGACAAGCGACGGGTACATCGACCTCAACCCAGTTTAGCGTGGCCCCGTCGGTACCTGCGTCGGGGGAATTTCTTGCTGCAGGGTGCGGAGCGCGGATTGGATTGGATTGCCTTCTTACCCAATCTGACCAATGAACGACGTGAATTGCTGTTGCTTCAGTGCGCCTTCCTGACTGCGTATCGGTGCCGCCCCTCCCAGTTCTCAAATTGGATGGGACATTGCATCCATGGGCCCTGGGGGGAAGGAAAGAGAGCGACCATGCCTTCCTGCGTCGTCAAGCGTCAAGAACACAGGCAGGAGGTACCTACCTTACTGACCAAGGAATCCCCCATTCTGATGCGCTTCTCTCACGCGCTCCCCCGTGCTCTACCAAGGTAAGGACTAAGGAAGGCATGGCGCTCCTCGATTATCGGCACCTGCCTTTCTTACCATTTATTGGATCTGTAGGCGTTTACTACGTAGACTTGCGTCCGCTGCTGAATTCCCCTTTCCCAAATTCCATGTCTTCATCTCTTCACACCATTCAGTAATCATCACCACGACCTCGCTTGCGCCATCCAGCCTGGCAAGAAGAGGAACAATCTCCTGTCGGCGCAACTATTACAGAGTACCTAGCAAATCTCGAATTGCATTACACTGCGCACTGCACTGACCTCATCCCGATCCCTCGCCCATCTCACCTTCACCTCCACTGGCATAATTACACATTACAGATACAATACACTCTTCCAATTGTGGTCGCGGTCCCAAGTCCACCCATCCAATCCAATCCACGGCTGCCCAGCTTCAGCTCCAGACTCGAGCTCTCAATCGTCTGCACTTGCTTGACCGTAATTATCTGCGCACTTGCACTTGTACTTGCGCTTCTTCTGCCCGCAACGCACCAGTGTCATTCCCTGTTTCTTTCCCAGTACACGACCCGCATCTGGCCCTTTCTCTGCTCGTCCCGCCCGGGTCCTTTCTCACCCTCACTTAATTACACCATCCCCTCCCCTCGTCGACATTTCGGCCAAAATCCTACCGTCGCCCGTCCAGTCCTTCCTGTCCTCGTCCTTGTCCTTAGACTTGCGCGGGTCACGGACACAAGACCCTCCACTCTCTACTACGTACTTACTCCAGTACCTGACCTCCCCACGCGGCCACGCCTCTTCGTCCGATCTCACTTTACCACCGCCCGACTGGAAACTCTTCCTTCCGTTCGACCATCCGTCCGACGTTTGGCTTGCGGTCCTCCCATTCAGTTTCTCCCCCATCTGTAGGAAAGCATCTTGCGCCTGCTTTTCTTTTCGACTGCGTCTGCGTCTGCGTCTGCGCCTACTACGCCTCCCTACGCTTACGCCTCTTCACTGCTGACGCTGCCGTTCCACGAGAATAGCAACGACGCATCTACACTAGCTCCAGCCATCGGCTCGGCACTCCATTCGTAAGTGCATATAACGGCGACGATCCTGCGTCCACTTCATCACTGCCCTCTTCCTGCCCCTATTTGCTGCGAGACCGCCCCTCCTTTTTGCACTGCACCACATGCAGACGGCAGATCTCCTGCCTCATCGTCTGCCGTTGTATCGCAGCCAACCAGACGACGAGGACCGCTGGCTGGGGACACCCTCGTCTCCAGAACTCGATTTGGGGAGCCGCCTTTCGCATTGGTTCCTGTTCTGCTCCCGTTTGGTCTGACGCGACTTTGGCTTCTCCTCTCCGTCTCCAAACCCCTTCCTGACTGCCATTTCCCTGTCACATCGTGCAGGCGCTGCCCAGCACAAGACTTGCTCCTCTCCGTTTCGCTGCGCTGCACCCGCTGCAATACCCTCTGCGGTTGGCTCGAGACGGGCCTTTGAGCGGCTGGCAATTGCGCCCGACCCAGGTTGTCGTTGCTTGGTAGCTAACCTCAATTTACCAGACACTCTTTTCCGTCATCGTCCCGTTCTCCCATCATTTCCCCCCCTTTCCACTCTTTCCGGAAGGGTACTGATTCCCATTCTCTTACCACTTACAACGAGCACGCAAACAACAGTCAGCCTGGGCAAGATCACAGGCCTGTCCGGAAAAATCGCTTGCCAACTAGCTGCTCAACCCTCCAATTCCGACATCTAAGCCACCGTGCTATTCGACATCCTCTCGATAAGCGGTCCACACCTCCACCGCTTCCACGCAACCTACTTACGTCCTCCATAAACCAAACAAGCGCAACGGGCATCTAGCATTGTGGTCGCATATGCTGCTTGTCCACTCCGTTTGCGGCTTCCGACTCTGAAACCTTTATTTTATGCTGAGGACCCCAGATAATGAGCCAGCCCCGTCGCTCTAGCTTCGGTATGCTTCTCAGACGTTCCAAGTCCGGCGACCTGGGGAAGGGTGGTAAGAAAGCCCAAGCCCTTCGCGAACAGCAGGAACGCGAACTCGAACGTCAGCGTCAGGCTGCAATCTCCAGAACTCCCCCCAAGCTCCCCGAGTTCTACAAGGCCAATGACCAGCTCTCCAACTCCATCCCCTCTGACCTGCGCGCCGAGGAGGCCTCAATCATGTCGGATCACACCATAGGTACCGCCTACTCGACCAGGCCCTCCATGGAACCGAGTCGCAGTATCGTGGGATCTGTGCCGCCTATGCCTCCCATTCCCGCGAATGCCTACGATCCCTATGCTCGCACCGAGAGCATGACGCACCGCGGACGCTACAGCTATGCTAGCAGCGCAATCAGCACTGTCAACAGCCCTAGAAGGGTTCGGAGAAGAAAGGATCCCACTCCCTTTAAGTGAGTCAACTTCCGAGACATTGTCATACCTGCCCTTTCTCTACAGCACACTAACTCTCTTCGTGTAGCGTTCTCGTCATTGGCACCCGAGGCGCTGGAAAGACGTCTTTCCTCGAATTCCTAAAGACTGCTCTGGCACTCCCGCCGAAGAAGCGATCCCGCAAGACCGAGGTGGAGGAGGAACCCGCTCCCAGATCTCCTCCTTCTGGCAACTTCATCCCTCACTACCTCGAGACGGAGATTGACGGCGAGCGAATTGGTCTCACACTTTGGGATTCGGAAGGCTTGGAGAAGAATGTTGTTGATCTCCAGCTTAGGGAGATGTCGGCCTTCCTCGAGAGCAAGTTTGAAGAGACCTTCACCGAGGAAATGAAGGTGATTCGATCGCCTGGCGTACAGGATACCCACATTCATGCCGTCTTCATGGTTCTCGACCCAGCTCGTCTCGACCGCAACCTGGCGTCAGTCAAGGGCGGTGTGTCGAATGGACACAACGGCAAATACGCCCCTCCGGCTCGCATTTCGGGAGGTCTTGACGAGGATCTGGATCTGCAGGTGCTTCGTACCCTCCAGGGCAAGACTACCGTCATTCCCGTCATTTCCAAGTCGGACACGATCACGACCAAGCACATGAATGTCCTCAAGAAGACCGTTTGGGAAACCGTCAAGAAGTCGGGACTGGACCCGCTTGAGGCACTTGGCCTTGACGAGGATGACGACTCCACCAGGATCGAAGAGGAAGAAGAGGCTGTGACTGACGAAGAACACGCCGATTCTCACGACGAGGACGACTTCCCCATCCAAGGACGGGAAGGTGTACCCTCCTCCCCCGGTTCCAAACGGCTTTCTGGATCCTCCATCCGTCAACATAAGGCTAAGCAGGAGGCTAAGGAAGAGGAAGTGCCATTCCTCCCGCTTTCGGTCATCAGCCCTGACCTGTACGAACCCGAGGTTCTGGGACGTCAATTCCCATGGGGTTTCGCGGACCCATACAACGAGGAGCACTGTGACTTCACCAGACTCAAGGACGCCGTCTTCAGCGAGTGGAGAGCCGAACTTCGTGAGGCCAGCAGAGAGCAGTGGTACGAGGGCTGGCGAACTTCGCGACTTAAGAATAGCCCGAATGCTCGTCGCCGATAGACCATTTGAGATTTGGTCCATAGGCTTTGCAACTTGGGCCGTCGATACCCTTACCTTTCTAAACCAAACAGCCCTTTTCGATGGCTGGCTTTACACCTGATTTCCGCACTTGTCGATGAGATTTGAGAGCACCGCGCAGCATACCCCCTTTTCCTCTGTCACATACCAATTCTTACGAACTTCTATGGTTGGAGGGCGCCCAAAATTTGGCGAAATGACAGCATTATCAGCCCAACTTCGCATGACGAAACTCCTTGATATCCCTGTTGCTTTCTTACCTTGACGATAGCTCAGGCAAGATGACGACGTATACCAGCATTTCCGACTCGAGCAACCGGATGACACTAGCATCGCCAAGACGCATGTCACGCACGAGAAGGATGCAAGACTTAGTTTATTGTACTTTTGGCACCGAAAATACGTTTCCCGGCTTCTTTACTGGCAGCGACCACCCTTCGCTTTACCAGAACTTTCTTTTCTTGTTCTTTTTAACTTCGCTTCTTTTAACGACACTCAAGATTCTGGGGACGAAAGAGTAGACTGAGTTTAGCGGCGGTTGTAATCAGTCACATTTGGTTGGAGAGCAGGTGGATAGAGAAGGCCTGCGATTCGATTCAAGCGGGCAGGAGAGATACAAGTTGGAATCAACCATTACGGTGATTACCCGGGAGAGGCCAGCCGATAGCTGTAGGGCAGTCTTGATAGGGTCCGATTTTCTATTCACGAATTTTGATTTGTCTTCTTCATGACGAAATTACGTGCTGCATCGTGGATATTACTTACTTTCCGAAGCAGTAACAGCGAGTTTTACATCTATCTGGCCCTCTTTCTCTCACATCCGCCAATGAATACTTCAGCAATAAAGTGAAACTTGGGACAGGACTAGAGACGTATGTACTGACACCTTGAGTACTGACACCTTGAAAACTGCACACATGAGATTTTGAGGGCTGCAACAAATGATTAACCGGCGTCCCAAGGGCCTCATCCACGTCTGACGAAAAAGTGAAGTCCGCATTCGAATATCTCATGTCCATCCATGAACGCCTTCAGGCTTCATATCACATGCTGCCAACAATATCAATAACCAAGAATGTCCCCAATTCTCACCAACAACGATGTTCTCGCAAAATTCAAACCTGGATCCCCTTTCCCCCCTCATCCCATAAGCATTCCTTGTCGATGTTGAGACTTCAAGCACTCCGGATGTGATATATATATAGATAAGGTGAGAGAAAAGAAAGGGGGAGAGGGGGTCTGAGCAAAATAGCTGCTACGCCAGGCCGGCCAGCCAGGACTTTTTCCTTCTTCGTCTACTACAACTCATCGTCCTCGTCGTCACTCTCGAGCGGCACGTACTCGGTATGCGTGGGCTCGCCCGCCGCGTCGACGTCGCCCTCCCTGCGATCCGGGTTCTTGCCGCGGCTGATGAGGGCCAGGCGTTCCTTTTTACCGAGGGCGATGCCGTCGAAGCCGGGGTAGAGATTCAAGTCTGCTCTGTATGTTGTTTTTATGGTTAGCTTCTGAGACTGTAGATCCGTCAAGGGACGAGGGAGGATAGCGAAACAACATACTTTAATAAATCGACCTTTAGATTCCGCGCCTTGTCGCGGATAGCTTGCTGGTCTCGCGGGTGATCAAAGACGCAGTCCTCCCTCTCCTCGAAGCTGTCGCCGCCGTAGCCGGCCCCGAGATTGCTAGCAGCAGCGACCTGCCGTTTCGCAATAAGCGCCCAGAGGCAGTTGTGGTGTTCTATGAGGCGGATGAGGCGGTGGGTGTCCTTGTTGGACCAGGGGACGCGCTGCTGCGGGCCGGCGCGGGATGCTGGGCGGCGGTTCATCTCGTTGATTTCGCGGAAGGAGGCGACGGTGGTGGCTGTGCTTGAGACGCTGCTTCGGGAGGCGGAGGTGGAGGCGGGAGCAGAGGAGGATGGGGCGCCGGTTGGGAGGGAGGCGCGGGGGCGTCGTTGGAGGGCGGTTGTTGTTGTTGATGATGATGAGGCGGAGGAAGAGGGCTGTCGTGGTCGTGGTGGTGGTGGTGCGGTGGAGGGGAGGGTTTTGCGCTTCGAGGGGGGAGGGGGCATGTCGCGGCGGTCGCGGGCGAGTTGGGCTCTTCGCTGGGGGTTCGGGTCGCGGTTGTCTTCTTCGAAGGGGTCGTCGGACTCTTGGGATTGTTGGGAGTGGGAGAGGGAGGCTTCGCGGGGGCGTTTTCTGTTCCTGCTGTTGACAGCGGTAAAGTCGGAGGAGCGAAGGGCAGCAGTGCTGGGGCCAGCTTTGACGGAGGAAGAAGGAGGTTGCGTGCTGCGGATGATTGCTGTGCTGGGGAGGCCTGCGATGATGGCTGAGAGGTCGCTCGGCGCCGGGGAGGGGTTGCGGCGACGGTGTTCTTCTGCTTCTTCTTCGTAGTAGTCGTCGCCGATGCCTCCGTTGATGATGGCCTCCGCTGTGGCTCCGCGCTGAGAGCTGCGTTGGGATCCGCGCTGGGAGTTTGCAAGTGATGGAGATGGACGTATGCGCGAGGGGTTCTCGCGAGAGAGCTTTGCCAAGAGTTGCACGTTTGATCGGGACAAGATGTCTTCGCGCCTGTGGTCGAGTTAGTATATGGATTACGTATAGACAGTGTCTAGACAAGGGCCGTACACGTCGTTGCGGACTATATCCTGCGGCGCGCTCGAGGGGAGGGAGTCTGTCGGAGAAGATTCCCTCGGCCCTTCCGGCGGGTCCTTCAAGATAACACTGAGCTCGTCGATCATCTTGCTGCACCAGGAGGAAATCTTGCTGATGAAGTCGACCGGCTCGTCGTCGGCTTCGTTCTGTGACTGATCAGGCGATCCCTCGAGCGGGAACATCTCGTCGAGGACCTGAATGGCATCGTCCACGTTCTTGTCCACGATCACATTGAAAATTTGTTTCGCCCTCTCTGCGAAACGCTCCGCCATGCGGCCGTTGATGCCCCTAAAAGGTCCAAATAGGAGAGCCTCTTCCGCGTCGACAGAGGACTCTAAAGGCATGCAGAAAAGCTCCGCTGCGATGTCTGCAGGATTCTGCTGGTCGTCCTGCAAGGCCTTCAGGCTCGTAATCAGCCGCTGCGTGCGAATGTCGAGCGCGAGCTCGATGTCGTCTTCGGTAACGTGGTCCGCGTAGTCGTCGTACGGGCACAGCGGTGCGGGAAAGTCCTCGTCGAGGCGCTCGAAGATCTTCCAGACCCTATCAAAGTTGTCTTCCTTGCGAAGCTCGGCGTCGGATATGACGTTGAGCAGCGACGTGGCGTTGGCGCCGATGATGACGGCCCGCGCCTTCATCTGCTGCCTTTCGCTAATGTCCTCGATGCTGGTGAGGAGGTCGATGAAGAGCGCGTCGGTCTCCACGAAGAACTCGCGGATGCGGAACCAGTTGCCCCGGAAGACGGGCAGCAGCCGGTGCCAGGATTTGCTGCTTGGTTTGGGGTTCCGGAGTAGTCTCGCTAGGGCTTCGGATTCATGCCATAATGAGTCGAGCGCGTTCTCCTTTAGTTCTGCTTCGACGAGGTCCTGGGATGCGTTATCTTCGACTTCGGATTTCTCCGACTCGTCGTCGCTGCCGTCATCCTCTATTCCCGGTAGCTGTGAGCGTCCTGTTGTGTTCCTACGTCAGCAAATTATCGAGCGAAAGTGCAAGACGGGTCGCACCTTGTGAAGCTCTAGGTGCGGATGAGCCCGGTGCTTCTGTGGGAAGATTAGTAAAAATGCGTCTTTGCAAGGGAGAGAGCGCAGCATTGACAAACTTGAGAATAACGTGTACGCAGCAGTCATGTAGGCCGGGGTCGCATATCTCTGTGTGCCGGAGATGCTCTGCGATCCCATTTCTAGGGCGGTTGTTAACCTTGGACTTCAGTTGGCCCATTGCGAGCAGAACTCACCACTGTCGTTATCTTGAGGGTTGATGTCTCGCACAATCTCCTTCGCATTGAAGCGCGCAACTGGCTCGTTTCTGTACAGATCATCCTCTTCCCTCTTCTCCACATCTTCCTCCCTTTCTTCCCGTTCTTCTGCCATCTCTCGCAACGTGGTGCTCGTCGGGGCGACCTTATCTCTTCCCCTACCTCGCGTCGTTGGCCGAGATGCAGCAGATGCAGAAGCGGTGGTGGTTTCGGTGCTTTCGAGGCGTTCCGTCGTGTTTGCGCCGCCTGCTCGACGTCGTGACAACCGCACAGAACGAGCGTCCTGGGCATCATTTCCCGGAGACTCCGGAGCGCCGCGGCCCGTTCTTGTGCGGGCCATGCTGTTTGACTCGTATTGTTGTTCCTGGAATGACTGGGATTGCTGCAAAGACGCGTATTTTGTTGGGGTTGGGTAGGGATGTTGAGTTTCTTACTAACCGGATTCTCTAACCCTAACCCCGACGATGATCGGATTGGTGTATGTTGATCGAGACTTGGGGCTAAACGCGTTCACACTGTGCTCTGGTTGCCTTAGGTGTCCATGCGCGAGCAACCGCGTCGCCTCTTTAATGGAAACAACAAGGTTCAAGCACCCCCTCTCCAACATACACATCTAGTTTATTGGTTCAAATGAGGAAGGAAGAGCTGCGCCATGGTACCTAATTATTTGGTAGTCTCTCAGATAGACTTCTTGAAAGAAGCTTCTGAAGGGCATGTCATCATTCTAGGCATCATCTCAGGTAGGTGCATGATGAAAGAACGGCAGGTTCATCATGAAGCGCAAGCTTTCACCGTCAACCGTCGGTCTCACTGGAGAAAACCTGAGCCTATCGATTGCATTTGATGAAACGCTGTTGGCGTTGTCCACTTAATTGTTTGTGGTAGTAACAAGTTGGCTTCAGTTGCGCATGCCCGTTCGGGCACTAGAAGCTGCACCTCATGCTACCTATGCCAGCTTATTACCTCAGATGCCAGGTGGCCTGTCTCACCTTAATATACTTTGACGAAGTCCATGATGTATAAGTAACTCTTCTTCAATGTATTGCTTGAGAATATTGTGTGATAATTATACGATTGCGAAGGTACTGGTGTTGGTGTTTTAGACCCTTTGGTTGTGGGTAAGAGCTCGTGTGACGACGAGCGGCCGTATAAGTGGGTTCTGCTTCGCGACTACAGGCAAACACAGAAACACACTGATTGAGAGCACTCTTTGCGCTTCTCTCAATTGAATCTCATTACTCCCGAAGATTCTACCGGGAATAAATGGGCACTAGATAGAGAAGCACTCTATACATGTGAATGCACTATAGGTCGTCCGAACAGTCTCGATTTAGGACCCTCACTTGAGGCTACGGTTATTGCAGAGGCCCAACCCGTTCGGAGAGAGTCCTAATTTCAGATCCTATCATTGCTGCTTCTTTTCCGAGTTCTTGAGAGGAGCATCCTTTCCGAAGAGGCCTAAAAGGTAAGTGGTCCTAGTCAGACAGAGAAGGGCCTAGAATAGTTAGCACAGCATCACAGCTCGAACGAGAAGGGTGGTCGCACCGTGACTCCCACGTTGCCCCAGGCCATTGAGTTCCAGCTTGCCACGTCGAGAAAGCGATCGAGGCCCATAACATGGTAGCAAACGTAAATGTGACCAAGGTCGGCTATCCAAAGAGCAACGAGATAGCCGCGCACAACCTTTAGCTCGTTGGTGAGGTTGAGCACGGCTAGTCCGACCATGGCCATGAGCAGGTATATATTTCCGAGCTGGAGGGCCACGAGCCGGGCATTATCAGATTCCGCAGCTGGCACGGCGGCCGAGATGGCGCCCTGCACGATCTGCTCGGATATGAACCAATCCGGGTTGATAACGGCGCCTAGGAAACCGCCGACGCTTTTGAGACAACGCGCATCAGCTCAGTGGCGGGTGGGAATTGGATTGTCAGGGTGGCGAGAGAGTGTGAATGCGAACGTACAGTGAGATGGGCTCGAAGACGGTGAAGACCAGTCTGGGGAAGGTTGGAAGAGCCGCAGCCGCCGCCATGGTGAGAGTAGTGGCCGTTGGTACCGGTCAGCTAGTGAGAAGTGGGATGGAGGGGGATTGAAAGCGGTGCAACAACAAAGGTGGTCACCGAACCCTTGTTGATGTTCTATGGAAGGGACAGGTGTTTTCTCGAAGGCGGAGGGGCGGTTGACAGGCAGGCAGGGCAGGCAGAATATTGAGGCCAGAATGGGGGCCGAAGAAGGCGAATAAAGGTTGGGAGGGGCAACGGGCAACGCAATTGATCAGACCGAGAAGCTGTGAGACGTTCTTTCAGCTCGGTGGAGGGTTTGTGGTGTGGTGGTCACTGTGATGTGTCATGCAAGAATTCGGAGAGGCGGAGGCGGAGGCAGAGACCACGGACGGCGGTAAACTGGAGCGAGACACATGTCTTGGGTACATGAGGTAAGGTACCATGGGTCCATACATACACTGGACGGATGCCGTACGGAATAATAGTAAGCAACCCAGACCATGGAAGCCGTAGCACAGGTGCCAATGGCGCTCAGGAATATGCCTCTAGGTTGCCGGCTTCGCTCCGAGCTGGGTTGAAGCTACGTGGGCAATGGAAGCAGGTTACGCAGGTTGGCAGGACCCAATTCAGGCTCAGGGAAAGGGAGATCCATCATCCAGTGAACCTAAGGTGGGACGAGAGGTGTGCACGGTGAGCCATCTAGTCAGTGCCTTGCCAGACTTGCCAATGTCTGTCAAGGTTAATCAGTCCATTGCCTGCTGGCAGATTTCTCTTGCTAAAGTTGGGCAGCCATCCACTCTTTGTCCTTCCACAGTACCTCAATAGGCTAGATGTATGGACCTGCTGTCTGCCTGGTATTGAGGCATCAAGGTATCTTCTATTACCTACAAGTTACCTTGGCGACATACGCATGGTCATGACATGTGTATCGAAGAGAAAGGCAAAAGAGACCGAGACTGACTGACAGAGAAAGCTGCGTGCCGGCGCGGAGAAGAAGAAACGGGCTTTCGCTGGGCAGCAGCCAATGATAATCACAAAGTATTAAAGTTACTTGGCACACCCGCCGCCGCTGCTGGTTGGTATCAGCAAATACCGCAAACCCAACCGCGCTAGTCTCATTTGCCGCTTCTACGGTGGAGAATCTTCACGTGGAACTTCCATCGTTGGGCAAATCTTCTAGGAGGAGCCCTGCAGCCACGGTGCCTGTGGTGAGCCCGTCTGCCTGTCAAGCCGGGGCCTGAAATGCTGCAAGCCAATCCTTAGCTGCTTCACGCTTTACTTTACCTTACTGATAGATACCCTTACCTACCCACGCTACCTACCTTACCTCCCGCCTTTCCATTCCTAATGCTTCCCTCCGCCTTTCGGTCACCTCAGTCACTGCCCGTCTTTGCTACCTGAGCAAATTCGTTGAAGACTCGAGTCCAAGTCTTGTCTTCGTCTGCTCCTCATCCTCCGTCTCCTCCTCACCATCCTGCCCGCACGCCGCCGACCTTACACCCATCCATCCCGCGTCCATTGTCTCTCCTTCTTTCCTTCGCCTCTCCCCTTCACTCCTCTTCTCTTCGTCTGTGTTGTTTCCTACCTCAAATTTTAAACCAAATGCCCACTCCGACTTTCCTAGCCCACGATGGCCTACATCGAGCCACGCCTCATCCACCTGCTGAACGATTCCACCACGCCACAGCTCGCTCACGCTGATCTGCCGCCCCTACGTCTAGCCTTCTCTCGTCCATCCGAGAGGCCCTTCCCACTCGAGCCTGAGACCACCCATCGCGAGGAAAACACCAAAGGGCCCTCGCTCGCCACCACCCACGGAGCCCCACCACAGAATCCCGGCACTCTCGACGACAGCTTCTCCGCACGAGATTCACGAAAGGATGACGAACCACCAATCGATCGGGGAGCAGTCAACAGCACCGCGCACCTACAATTGAGACTGCTCTTGGGCGACGACCGAGATAATGCAGACTCCTCCTTCTCTCTGAGCAAGATCCTCGATGAGGTGCCCGAAAACAAAGATGATTCCGCAAATAAGAAGAGGCACCGCAACGTTGCCACCAAGGATGACTTTGTGCAGCTACCACAGCCGGTCAAGAAACAAAAGCCAATTCAACCCCAGATCATGCCGACTATGCCGCCCATTATCAATGGCTTACACGAACCTCCCCCTGACGCTGCGCTGTTCCCGCCCATTGCCTCTAACGACTTCAACGAGCCCGAAAGCAACCAGCTCAAGCCTCTTCGAGATTTCGCGCCTGTGCCCGAGGAGAAGGATATGGAAATCGAGGTTGAGAAGCCCGCTGAGGCTGACTCGACAACATCCAAGAACTCGAAATCTAGTGGTGGCAAAACAAGGAAGAAGGCGATGAAGCCGAGGCGGAAGTGGTCCGAAGCTGAGACAAACCACCTACTGCTGGGTGTCAATCGGCACGGCGTTGGAAAGTGGACCGACATCCTTGCTGACCCCGACTTCAACTTCAATGACCGAACTGCGGGCGACTTGAAGGACCGGTTTCGCACCTGCTGCCCGAATGAGTTGCGCAGGACTAACAGCGAACCGAAGATCACAACTGCTGCTGCCGCGCCGCCAACGACTCCAACTGAACCAAAGGCCAAAGCTAAAACGGGTCTGCTGTCGGAAAATATACTCATAGCCCAAGATGAGGCTGCAGCCAGCGAATCGTCCCAACTGACACAGGCTGATTTGGACGCCTTTCCTAAGATGAAGAGGAGTAGGGCGCACCGCAAGAAGCTGGAGGATTTAGCGGAGCTAGGAATACACGGTCCATTCAAGAAGTCTCACAGAAGAGAAAGACGACCTTTTACCGACCAAGACGACAAGCAAATACTCGAAGGGCTGGACAAATATGGACCAGCCTGGACCAAGATCCAGAGAGACCCACGCTTTAGTCTGTCTGGAAGACAACCGACCGACCTAAGAGACAGGGTTCGGAACAAGTACCCCAGCGTTTATGCCAAGATTGAGAAGGGACTATTCCAACCCCAGGACGGGCGAGGGGGTGATACCCTCGAACCAACGGTTAGCATGAGCATCTCGAATACTCTGCAGCCCAATAGGCCACCTCCCATGGAGGCAGCACTGAATAGAACCAACTCAAAGGAAGATCTCCCTAGGTGGCCTTTGTCTGTCATTGATAATGGAGAGCTGCCTGCTAGCCAGCAGGCCTTCGACTTTGGCGAAACGACCACAGCGACTTTCATGGGAAGTGCGGGGGAGATGGACATCTCTCGCCTATTGCTGGATGACTCACAGGTCGCCAGCTCGACCGCGATATACGCACCCGATCAGACGTCTGAATCGACGTCACCATAACCTTCCACTGGGTGTTGGAACTTCAGCAGCCCTTCGGTAGCTGGAGCTTCATCCTGCTGCGTATTTTCAGCGGCCTAGTACACTTGCTAGGTTTCCACCTCTTGCCTTGTGTGCAGGATTTTGTATCGAACATTAGAACCAAAAGTGCTGCGTATTGTTTGCTTACGTGGCGTACATGGAGAATTGGGTTGCTTCGCTACCCGAACGGTCGTTTCTGGACATAAACTTATACCAACTGGTTTTCCGTAATCACATTTTGGAGATACGGCGCATAATCAGATATCTTTGGCCAAGGATGGACAAAAGGGGTTTGGGAGTGAATTAGATGGACTACGGTCGTTTCTGCGCAAGAATGAGTTAGTGTTCCGGACAGGCTATCTGGGTAGAGTGTCGAGATCTGGGCACTGTGAGCTAGAAAGCACCAATCGCTAGATGATTGTATTGAATATAGTGCACACGACCGGTGCACACTATGAATCTGGAATCCTTCCCGCCCCGATATGCCAATGATGGAATTTGAATAGTCTCGGAGAAGAGGTGCCCATTAGGTTTTGTGCTTTTGGTGGGGCCGCTGTCATCGGCCTTACCAGTCAAGCCCGTGTTGCCATGCGCCGGCCGTGGACGGATCCACCAACCGCCGAATTAACGGAGCACGAGAGCCAGGTGGATCGAAACGCACGGACCATCTCGCTTAATCCAGGTGACCACTGAATGTCGCCGGATTATCGAAGCCCCGCCCCTGCTTTTGACCGCTCAGAGACACAAGTGTAGGGTTCGAAAAACCTACGCCTCACAGAAAATTTCCAGCCCGATCCCTCTGTACTCCACGTCCCGAGTTGAATCTGAGTAACTCGACTTCGACCTTCACACCCACCGACCAGATACCCCCATAGACTAATCGGCAGTCAGACAAAATGGGCAAGGGACTGTAAGTGCTTGATACCCAATCCTCATTTCTAATTTCAATATTGTCGTCGACGCGATTCGGAAGTCTGTTGGTCGCTCGAGCGATTTGGACTTGCCCGCAGCGACGAACTGAAGAATTCCGACGACAATATTCGAGATCATGATCGAGTCCACCCTCGACACGAACAAATATTCTGACAATGCCCTCACAGCAAGAAGCACCAGAAGCGCCTTAGCGCGCCTTCGCACTGGCTCCTGGACAAGCTGTCCGGAACCTACGCTCCCCGCCCCTCGGCCGGTCCTCACAAGCTTCGCGACTGCTTGCCGCTGATTGTCTTCCTCCGCAACCGCCTCAAGTACGCCCTCAACTTCCGCGAGACCCGCTCCATCCTCATGCAGCGCCTCATCAAGGTCGACGGCAAGGTCCGCACCGACATGACCTACCCCGCCGGCTTCATGGACGTCATCACCATCGACAAGACTGGCGAGAACTTCCGTCTCATCTACGACACCAAGGGCCGCTTCACCGTCCACCGTATCCAGGCCGAGGAGGCCGAGTACAAGCTCGGCAAGGTCAAGCGCGTTCAGCTTGGCCGCGGTGGAATCCCATTCTTGGTCACGCACGATGCGAGAACGTGAGTTTGCACACTCTGCACTGGTTCTGTCAGACATCATTCAGCCGTTGGATCAAGCTTTGGTCGATTCGTCATCACCCAAAATGCTCTCTTGTTCAATTCCTGGAATAAGACTTCCCAATCACATGAAATCCCCTTCCCTTTTGAAGTGGGAGGGAGGCGGAATTGCAACGTCAAAAAGAAGAATATTGGCCGATTACGAAGAAAAGAGATTGGAGCTATACATATCCGACGGCTGTAATGTATCACCCCATCCGAACCCTCTTTGCTGACTCTTTTATCTCTACAGCATCCGCTACCCTGACCCCCTCGTCAAGGTCAACGACACCGTCAAGATCAACCTTGCCACCGGCAAGATTGAGGACTTCATCAAGTTCGACACCGGCTCCATTGCCATGGTCACCGGTGGTCGCAACATGGGTCGTGTCGGTGTCATCACCCACCGTGAGCGCCACGACGGAGGTTTCAACATTGTCCACATCAAGGACGCCATCGACAACACCTTCGCCACCCGTGAGTCCAACGTCTTCGTCATCGGCTCCGAGAAGCCCTGGATCTCCCTGCCCAAGGGCAAGGGTGTCAAGCTCTCCATCGCCGAGGAGCGTGACCGCCGTCGCGCCAACGCCCTCGCCGGCAACTAAGCGTCTTGTCTTCTACGAAATGATGAAGGTTGCGCATGAGTCTGCTGCGTGTGCTGCAGTTGGGTTGCTCCGAAAGGTGACACCTCGGCTGCGTTGCTACACACTTTCGTGAATGTCTCTTCTCGGGGACGGAAACGGTTATTTGGGTCGGGCAAATGGGATTGAGCATGATCAAAAAATTACGGAGTCTAGGGCTGATTTTAGAGTTGTCGGCTTCGACTACCCTGCAGATAGCTGCGGCCAATACCAAGCCATTGAAGGTCACTCTTCCGCCCAATCTTGAGTTCCCATATACTTCGCTCGTGATGTTGTCATGTGAATGTCATTGTATCCCACCCCCAGGGAGATTACATTGGATGTTATCTAGGGCATGATACCACGTCGTTCTGGTGGAAGGCTGTCTGCGTCACAGCAGTGTGCATATCCGTGGAACGATGCGAGGCTTGCAAGTCGATTATGCTTGACGTGACGATACTCCATGGCTAGCCCACAAGGTTCCAATTTGACAAACATTCCATTCACTGTATTCATCTTGTCAAGGTATGGGAACCTCTTGGGACTGTCGCCATCTCTACCCCAGTAACAACGATCTGCTCAAGTCCCTTGGTCAGGAACCCCAGAAAGCTTTCCATTAGAAGCGTCACCTCGACGCATCAACCAGAAACCATCCACCATCAATACATACCAGCTCTCTAATTCTCACCTTACCATCCACCCACCTTGCCCGTACCTAACTAACTCCCAGAGAAAAGGGCGGGTACTTGACCGCCGCGAGAGGAAGAGACAGAGAGCGCGAAGGACAGACAGAAAAGAGCCGCAGTTACATCGCCAAGTTTCCAAGGGCCCAAGACCAGTTGACCACTCAGCTCACACGGAAAACCACCACCGCACAGTAGGTAACCGGTCTCGTGCCCTCTGCTGCATGTTTGTATGACGCAGGCTCACCCGGCAGTCCGCGTTTGGTCTACAAGCCACGAGATCGTTTGGACATAGGTAGGTACTGTGCAGCTTTCTTACACACACACACATTCGTTCTCTGAGGTGTGTTTGTGTGTCTGACAAGTCTAACTCGTACCTGCTGTGGATGACTGCGGGGGAGAAGGAGGGGGGAAACCATTTCCCCGGGCAGCAGGATGCGAGTAGGGTAGCTACCTTAGGTAGTGCTGTCTACCCTAGAGGAAGTTCTCACCGTAACCCCCCTCCCAAATCAATTGGTCATTGCATTACGAAAGGGGGCAACCAATGCCTTTTCCTTTCATGCTGTTGAAGAGGTATCAGGTAAGTCTCCCCTAACAGGGAGGGAAGGGGGGGGGTGCGATATTCTCGTCAAAGTTTCCGATACCCCGACTTTCGGTCCTGATCCTGATTCCGGGGTAAAGGGCGCCCAGGTACCTAGGAAATGATTATGGTGAACTGGCTGCTCTATGTAGATTCCGTCATAAATCATAATCGCTTTTTTGCGTTTTCCAGACGGCATTTCCAACAAGGCGGCTTGTGCCTGGGCCAAACGAAGTCACTACAGCTGACCCCAAATCATCTTACGGACACGGTTTTCCAGTTTGAATTTGAGAGGTAGACAACTCAGCCTTGTCTCTCAATGATCTTTTGCTTTAGAAAGTCTGACCTTACGGACGAAAATACTATCTTCCTGTGTCCCGAATTTTGCGTAACCCGACTTGAAGGGCACTGAAGCATCCGCAGTATCTCTCGGCTACCAACTTTTCATTGTCCAAACTTGGGTTTTCTAGAGGTGGAACATTCCCCCCGCCATTGTGGTCACTCAACCCCGCCGTAACACCCGCACTGCCAGAACCCACCAGCAGAGTCTAGCCTTGGAGCCGATGTGCTATCAGCCTACTACTCTGGGCGCTTGACGAAACATAAGACTAACCTGCTAAGTCCCTCGATACTCTTGGGACAATCTTGAAAAGACATCAATACTCCGATTTGAAGTCCAGCGGAACACATTCAAAGTTTAAAACGGAGCATAAGCGTTGTTGGCTGAAAGCTACCTTGGTTCGTTCGTTTCGTGCAGTGGGAGGGATCCTGAACACGCCCGGCTAGGCTTTGGCAAGAAGGAACACCACCAGGTAGGCGGCGAACGACGTGCCTTCCGGCGACTTTGCCGCCTCATGTGAGACACAGGTAACCAGTCAGGAAAGTGCTGGGGAATACGATGCAGCTCCCCCGGGCACAGGGCGTTATTCCTCTGCTTTGTTCTAGAATCCGCATGTTTGTACGCTACGGAGACTCCACGACATGTGGACCGTCAAGCAAGCGTTCTCGTGGTTGGTGGCAGCTTCGATCAGGGTCCGGAATTTCCATGAATGTTGAGATTGATCAAATCCATCAGAGCAGGTAGAAATTATCATGCAAAAATCCAAGACTATCATACATACCACCGCTTCCTGCCACTGATGATAGCGCGGGTTTCGACTGTGAGATGGTCTCTGTGATACTGGTTGACTCTCAGTAGAGGTACCATGAGAAGGAAAAGCCCTGCGAGAGGCTTTCCCGGCCTGGGGCATCCGACTTCCGACCCTGGCCTGAGTACCTGAAAGTCCATGCAGCATCCAGGCTACCTTGGATTAGACCGATGATCGAATCTCATCGATTCTTGGGGTCGCATGGCTAGCAGCAAGGGGGGTTGCGTTGCAGGCTTGCGGCGTGGGAGGCACGCATCCACTGATGCACTGGAAATCCTTTGGGCAGGTCGACAGGAGGGCTGAGCGGGCGTTGAAAGAGTGGCGGTTTGTCATCGGAAGCCGCACATTTTGGAGACAAGAATTCCGTTTCGTAACTAATAAATATACCGCCGTCTTACTTGTAAGAGAAGAGAACAGGATATCTCATTTGCTTTAGGAGAGTGTAATGGTTCCGCAAAGCCGTAGTCTCACCGCGTGTGACGTCCGGTCTGGGGTATGCACCTCGGACGCATCGCTGACATAACTCAAACTCTGGATGATGGTGTCTCCGAATAAAAAGTAGCTGAGGTGGTTGTCGGGGTCAATGTAATTTAATTGCTTACCACCTCCACCCGTAACGAGAGCTCAAGAAAATATTGAGCTTATGCCAACCTGTCTTCTGGAGGTCAGATGACAGAAATGCCATCTACTGCAGATGGACGAGAGGCTGAGCTGCTTTGCCTGACTGCTTCGTCGCATACTGTGTAGGCAACTACCTACTCAGTGCTACTGTGGGTTCTGTTATCTTGACCTCGGAAAACCTCCGGGTCGGCGCTGCCATCGGGAACGGACTTCCGGGGTACACTCAGTGGGTGGGACAGCTAGCACCCAAGGCCCTCATCTCGGAACACTCCTCTTCGTACAGTTTCCGCTGGAAGACTGTCAGACCTTGTGCCCGCCCTTGATCCACCAGGCGAGTGCGACCTCGCAGTGGATTGCCTCTGTGAGAGAATGCTCAGAAACCTGCATTCATATCCACAGGCGAGAAGGCATATTCCAGCCGGCAAGCGGCACCCTCACGAACGTCTTGTTTGGCTGGCCCCGGAGGCCAACGGCCTGCGTTCTCGGCGGTCACCGTGGGCCACCGTTACCCCTCGTGCGAGACCCACTGCGGACTCTACACCGACCAGGCCGGTGCGCGGGGGTTCGTCAGAAATCAGGGCCCTTTTGTCGCTCACAAGAGGCTGGAAATCGTGGTCATGGGAAGAGATTGAAATTTTCTCGGCCCCCTGTACCCATGCTCTTCGTTGGGGGTACGCCAGTTCGCCTGCATTTTCTGCGTCAGTGGCATTTCGAGTCTGCCAGGCTTCATCAGTATTGTCTTGCCCCGTCTCACCGTCGTACAACTCAAGGGCAGCAGGGCACGATGTCTGTTATCCTTCCGAACTCGACATTCGATTCGCTGGCCAGTGGTGATTTGTGGCTACCATTGCCGTGAAATTCAGTTACGTCGGTGAGAAGTCCAACTCAAAGAGTGGGATGCTGTTGGTAATCAGACTTCCAGTAGACCAACTGCGGAAGGTTGTTACTGCCCCCCATCCATCGTAGCTTGAGCCACCCCACGAAACGGGGGTCACACCTGCATCACAACCCAGCATCAGTTCCTACTGATGACGTGAAAGGCTCTACCTTGGTCCATTATCGAGCTCGTGTCCATGCTCAGTCAGACCTTCGATGCTGGCCTTCTTTTCCGTGTCAACTCCGATGACCCTGTTTCTGTTGCCGATTAGTTCATTTTCGAGCCGCAAGTCACTCAGCGTCGCCGAGGAACGCTGAGCTACAACACGCCCTGGAGAGCTCGCGAATCTGTATCGGACCTGTTCGTCTATCTTCGCCTTGTCGCTCCGCGGGGAAACATACCGTTCACCGAGAACATCGACGACTTCGGATTGTTTCAGCTTCGGCATCTTCCCCGCCTGTCCCCGGATCCAGTCCTCTTTGTTGTGTCTTTACGGAGTAGTAGCAACATGGCAAATCCAAGCTCGCCGCTCCACATGGAAAGCTTGCCTGGACCAGTGCTAGTGAAGCGAGGTATTGCAAAGTACCCCATCGTGGAAAAGTCCAGAGTCTCACCCCCGCTGACAACTCAGGGCTACCACCTTTGCTCACTAGCTAACCATGCTTTCGTCTTCTTAGCCCGCCGGCTCTTGACTTCTTGACTTTTTGGGCCTGTATTCCCCTTCTCCAGTGTCTTTATTGGTTGCAACCACGTCGTCTCTGCACCCACTCCATCTGCCTGGTCTGCACCTTGTTCCCAATGTGGGATGCGATACGCCCAGGTACTTGACGTCTGGGTCATGCTCTCAACTTCTTCCACAAAAAAAGAGCAGAGGCATCGTTGTTAAAGGCGAAGGGCCCCGTTGTCATCCACCATACCCACTTGCCCCAACACTCAGCTTCTTAGCTTGCTTTGTGGGCGATTGCGACATTGCCCGTTGATTGGGATATGTGGTCGACGATTTCGCTCGCTTGCTGAATATAAACACATCGTCTTCCTCTTCTTGCCGGATTCACCGTTCCGACTTTGGCTGCTACGGACTCGTTTTCGCGCTATACCTGGACGCTTTTGGCAAAGGTCCATTCGGTAGATCTCTGTATTGTCATCATTTGACAACTGATATCTGGTCGAATTTCACATCGTCCTATACTCCGGACATCAGGAAACCCTTTTCACAATCCACAGTTCGATTCGAAGTTCCTGGCACAAAATCAGAAGTAGCGCAGGCCCATATCAACCTCGAACGCCGACGCAAGCCATCTCGCCGACGCAACCCACCACTAAACCCTGTCCATTCCAGCATCTTACCCTGGTCGACCTCTTGGCCAATAACAGACTTTCTCTTCGAGGAATCCGATTTGCGTCCGTGTAGATGGCTCTCATCCCCTGCATGTCGGCCAAACTCTCTGCGAGGCCCCTCCTGAGCCATGGCTTGAGGGGCCGACTCGCTGGGCCCGCTCTCCGTGCCGGTCGGAGCTTTTCGACCACGACCACCCGGCAAAGCAGCCCCCGGGCTAGCTCCGAAGGTTCGGCCAACACCTCGCAAAGTGGTTGGCATGGTAATTCAGTCTGGGCTGTTGCTTTAGCCGCCGGTGCCGTTGGCTGGGGTCTTGCTAGTTCGACAAAGGGCAATTCTGCCACCGCTGGCTTTCTTCCTCTCGGTAGCAGCCTGCTTTCTACAGATGGTCTGTCTCGCCCTGTGACGTATGCAAGCATGGCCGAAATGGAGCAGGTATTCGCATCCTATCATGAGAATGACCTCCGCTTCTAACTTGTTGTGTAGGCCTTGAAGGAGATTCGAAAGGAGCTGGGTGGCGAGGATATTATTTCCACGGACCCCGACGACTTGCATGCTCATGGGTATTCTGAATGGTCCTCGACCAATCCGGATGGCCTTCCCGTTGCTGTTGCATACCCGCGATCAACAGAGCAGGTGGCGACGATCGCACGAGTATGCTTCAAGTATAACGTCCCCATCATTCCTTACTCGGGTGGTTCCAGTCTGGAAGGAAACTTCTCGGCACCGTACGGAGGAATCAGCGTCGACTTTGCCTTTATGGACCAGATTCTCTCCTTCAATAAGGATGATATGGACATTGTTGTTCAGCCGAGTATCGGATGGCAAGACTTGAACGAAAAATTGGCAAAAATGGAGAGCGGACTCTTCTTCCCTATCGACCCTGGTAAGCCGAAATCAGCGCAGGATCTTCCATAAAATTGATATTTGAGACTGACGGGGGGAAAAAGGCCCAAGCGCAAAGATTGGCGGAATGATCGGTACAAACTGCTCGGGAACCAACGCCGTTAGATACGGAACCATGAAGGATTGGGTGATCAACCTTACGGTTGTTTTGGCAGACGGAACTGTGGTCAAGACTCGGAGACGGCCAAGGAAGTCTTCCGCCGGCTACAACCTGAATGGACTGTTCGTAGGATCTGAGGGAACACTAGGCCTTGTAACTGAAGGTGAGTTGGAACAGGCAAATGACCTGGTCCAGCTTGTTACTGCTTCCTTGGGTGTGTGCTGACCGCTTCCAGCAACCCTGAAGCTCACTGTTGTGCCCGAAGACTTCTCGGTCGCTGTTGTTACATTCCCGAGTATCAGAAACGCTGCTGCGGCTGCAGCCGAAGTTATGCGCAATGGTATTCCTGTGGCTGCGATGGAAATCATGGACGAGGTCCAGATGAAGGTCGTCAACTTGGGTGGCGCAACAGCGCCTCGCGTTTGGCAGGAACTCCCGACCCTGTTCTTCAAGTTCTCCGGTACCAAAGCCGGTGTTAAGGAGAACATTGGTCTCGTTCAGAAGATCACCAAGAATCACAAGGGCGGTAACTTCGAGTTCGCAAAGGACGCGCTCGAGCAGAAGTTGCTATGGTCTGCCCGTAAAGAATCACTGTGGTCAATGCTGGCCCTTCGTAAGGACGGTGAAGAAGTTTGTGAGTAGCTTGTCCTATGTCTTGGTCAGTATGAGCATCCCGAGACTGACAATGCGTAGGGAGTACGGATGTCGCTGTCCCCTTCAGCCGTCTGGCCGACCTCATCGAGATCAGCAAGAAGGAGATGGACGACATGGGATTGTTTGCAAGTATTCTTGGCCACATCGGCGACGGTAACTTCCACGAAAGTATCATTTACAACCGGACGATCCCCGAAGAGCGAGAGAAGGTCGAGAAGTGTGTCCACAACATGGTCAAGCGAGCAATAGATATGGATGGAACGTGTACGGGCGAGCATTCGATCGGTTGGGGCAAGAAAGAGTCTCTGCTTCTTGAAGTCGGCTCCGACACCCTCGACGTAATGAAGTCGATCAAGCGTGCGCTCGATCCGAAATGGATCATGAACCCTGGAAAAATAATGGACATTCCCGAGGGCTCAAGGACGAACCAGGGTTCCTCGGTATAGCCATGAGGCCCGTTGATATGAGATGTCACCAAGAGCAATTGCTATCGCCGAAGCTTGAGGTTGGGCTTATGGGGACTGCTCTCTGATCTGCTGCCTAAAATATGTTACTTAGGTGCCTGAAACGACCAGAAAGGGGACTATACCAGGGACAAGATCGCAAAAGTTCTAGGGAGGCATGCCGTTATTTTGCTTGATGAACACTGAATGCCACAAACTGTGGTCTTGAATTCACCAGAAGTCATTCATGTCGTTGCGGCTGTGTTGCTGTTCCAGCCCACAGGGAGCAAGGGCCGAAAGCTCAATAGCGACGAGATACCGATAATGATAAAAAGTGATATGAGATTTGAATCTATTATCAGAGCAAACATCCAATGACAATGATGTGCAGAGTCTAAAGTGGGCAACCGAGTAGGAGATGGAATGAGGGCGGGCAATCGAGCCAAGGTTGAATTTGGAGATCGTAGTGGGTTGCGGGTAGCTGCATGCAAAGTGCTTGGGCAAAGAAAATTCGAAAACTTAGGCAATTTCATTCCAGGAATGGTTGACCTAGGGAAAGACAGACCGGAGTGAATTGCCTGGTCTTCGCTCCTTCTTCATACCTAGGCACCTCTAGTGCCGCGGGCTCAGGGTGCCTTCCTAACCTCGACTTTACCCCCAGTCTTCTATTGTCACCATCCTCCGCGCCCGTCTTTGCCTTTCAAACTCACTTCACCCTTCGAGCCTTCGCCTTCGACTTCGACCTTCCCTTCCGACTTCATTTAAGACACTCCGCCCAGGCTATCTTGTTGAGAGCCAACCTATCCAAGTATATACTCACAGCTCGTAGCTGCTTCACGAAATACGTCCTCAGCTTAGCGAACAACGACAGACCAAGAAAACAATCGTGCTGTTACGTCACCAGAGAGGTACAGTTCACCCTCAAATTACATATTCAAAGTGAATCTTGAGGGATATAACAACCAACTCTGCTGACTTTGGCTTCTAGCATACATTCCGCGTCATGGGAGAAGCAGATGAACCTTGGCGAACATGGCCGGAATTCCGACTGAAGGTTCGTGGCCTTCCCGAGGCCGTTGATCTATCTGAGCTATACGACTCCTTCAACCAACATGGAAGTATCTCTTTGCTAGAGATCGGAGAGAACCGAGAGGGCCAACGCGATGGATACGCCCTGGTTCGATTTGAGCCTCCACCCAAAGTCAACTTCTGGTCGTCAGGATTCCACATCGTCCATTACAAGGGAGGCAAGAGCGCCCGTGTCGCCCTCCAGACTTTTCGACCTCCTCATGAAAGATACTCTAATCTGATCAAGAGTCCCTCAAACCCCAACATCTGGTTCGATTCCAAGATGATACTTGAAGCGGAACGTATGGACTTTGGCACGCGCTTACAAGAGAAGGAGATGATGGTGTTCAAATCCGTTCATGAGGGCGTGCGCATCGACATGAGCTTGACCAAGAAGAAGCTTACTATCCACTTCGATACTTGTCCTCTGGACTCATCAGAAGACCTGAACGGTGACGACGACGAGGAGATATTTCACCACAAGTGCGGAATCGAGTTCGCCCGCCTCACTAGTGTTTATCGAGTCGACCGAGATGAAGACACACTTCTGGTCATACCGGTAGAGCTTCCGCCTATGTTCTGGACCAAGGCAAGCAGGAAGATGCGAAGCAAGATGGCCGCGGGCAAGACCTCATGGGGCATTACGGACATGTGGGAAAGACGCACAACCATATTGCACAATGATCAACTGCCGAAAGACTTTCCAATCACACTCCAGTCAGACTTCGAAGATCCTGACTTCATCAATACTGGTCGCTGGACAACTTATAAATTCGCGATCTCAAAGGCTGGAAATGGCACTTTGGAGAAATTCCTGCAGGCTTTAGAGGCCCACAACATCACGGCCATTGCTGTAGAGCACTTCGTGACTACCCCTTCGCAACCTCCTCTGCTCGGTACTGTGTTTAGAGCCCAAGCTACCGACAGTCGGTTGCGATCTTTTGACCCTGATTCCGATAATCACCACTTGCCCTTCGAGGTCCACTACCAGCTTGAGGTCTGTATCTCACGAGGCATTCTATCAGAGTACTCCATCAACCAGGCATTTATCGACCGACTGCGTCAGATGGACAAGGACCGGGCAAAGTGGATGCTCGAGTACTTTGCGGATCAAGGAAAAAGGGAATGGAACCCGATGGAGATGTTTGGGAGTGAAGAGGCTGCTCTGTACTTTCCCGGCATGAGTATGCCATACTACTGCACCACGATCCGAAAGGTCATTGTCACACCATCGACCATGCACCTTTGCTCTCCAAGCGTCGAATCCTCCAACAGGGTATTGCGAAAGTATAATTCTTATCAAGACCGCTTCTTGAGAGTTCAATTCACGGACGAGCTGTACAGAGGCAAGATCTACAGCGATGCAGGCAACGAAATCCACCACCGCATTTACCGTGCCCTAAAACAAGGCATTAAGATTGGCAACCGGACTTACGAATTTCTTGCGTTTGGAAACTCGCAAATTCGAGAGTGCGCTGCCTACTTCTTCTGTCCGACCGATCATCTTTCATGCGATCAGATCCGAGACTGGATGGGGCACTTCAACCATATCAAGAATGTCGCCAAATACGCTGCTCGTATCGGCCAGTGCTTCTCTACAACGCGAGAAATCCGAGGTATCACCGTTCCCCAGATCGTACAGATGCAAGATATCGAGCGTCAAGGCTATTGCTTCAGCGATGGTGTCGGCAAAATCTCAAAGCTACTGGCCGAGATGGTAGTCCATGAGATGGGCCAGGATACAATTGGAATACCCTCTGCTTTCCAATTTCGCATGGGTGGCTGCAAAGGCATGCTGGCTGTCTGGCCTGATGCCAAGGGCCTCAACGTCCATATCCGGCCTTCGCAAGAAAAGTTCAGGGCCCAGTTCAATGGCTTGGAAATCATCAAGTTCGCGCAGTTTTCACCAGCCACGCTGAATCGACAAACCATAACCATTCTTACGACGCTCGGTGTCAAGGACAGTCCGATCTTGGATCTTGCTGAACAACAAATCCAGGGCTACGAGAAGGCTATGAAAGACCGAGTCGCCGCTGCAAGCTTACTGGGGCAATACATTGACGAGAACATGATATCTCTAACAATCAAAGACCTCGTCTGCTGGGGTTTCATGGATGCAGAGATTCAAGAGCCGTTCGTGCTGACAATTCTGGATCTCTGGCGAATTTGGTCTATGAAGCTGTTGAAGGAAAAGGCGCGCGTGATCGTCGATCAAAGTGCTTTTCTTCTCGGTTGCCTGGACGAAACAGGCACATTAAGAGGCCACAGCAAGGCAACTGAGGGGAAGAATACCAACAACATCGAGGACTTGCCGCAGATCTTCCTTCGAATTCCGAACCCCCAAGATGGCAAATTCTACTGCGTCACCGGCGTGTGCATTGTGGGACGAAACCCTTCACTTCATCCAGGTGATATTCGGGTTGTGGAAGCGGTTGATATCCCTGACCTCCACCACCTCCAGAATGTTGTGGTGTTTCCAAGCACCGGTGATCGAGATGTCCCCAGCATGTGTTCCGGGGGAGATCTTGACGGAGATGATTTCTTCGTCATCTGGAACCAAGACCTCATTCCCAAGAACTGGCACCACGAGCCTATGAACTACATCGCACCCAAAGCTCCGAAACTGAAGCGAGATGTCAAGGTATCAGATCTGAGAACATTCTTCGTTCGTTATATTCAGAACGACTGCCTGGCCAAGGTTGCAACTGCACATCTAGCTCACGCTGACCTCTCGAAACAAGGAGCGAACGACAAGAAATGTGAGTTAATTGTCTGCGAGTAAAGATAGATACAAATTGACACCGAGTTTCTAGGCTTGAGGCTGGCAGAGCTGCACTCCAAGGCGGTAGACTACGTCAAAACTGCAGATCCAGCAGAATACCCTGCCGAGCTCGATCCTAAACAGTGGCCGCACTTCACGCGCAAATTTAATACATACAAGTCCCGGACTGCGCTTGGCAAGATCTTCGACAGAATCGTTGAGCAGGAGCTTAACCCTCTTTACGACAAAAAGTTTGACGGAAGGGTGTTGAGAAGGTTTGAACTGTCCGGAGAACTTCTACAAAAGGCTCGCAAGACCAAAAGTCAATACGACACAGCTATGCGTCGTCTCATGAGTCATCGCGACGTTCACACCGAATTCGAAGCATGGACAGGCTTCATCCTGTCAAGACCTCGGGTTGGCAGCGACTACAAGCAGCAAGAGGACATTGGTCGAGAATCAGCGGCACTCAAGCAAAGGTTCCGAGAGATTTGCTACACAGAGGCCGGAAGCAGACGGTTCGAAGACTTCGCCCCTTTCGTGGCTGCAATGTATCAAGTGACCGAGCAAGAGGTCAATGCAGCGCTTGTAGACGAGTACGAAGACGAAGATCACAAGCGACAATCGATGCCCCTGATCAGCTTCCCGTGGATCTTTCACTGGATTATGGGGCGCATCGCCACAGGCAAGGTCAAGATCAAGCCTTCCGTCGACCCCGACGCCAAGGCGGTACCCATGAGGTCGTACCCTATTCGTCAATTCGAGCAAGATGGCAAGGTAGCCCAACAGGACACTCATCTCGACGATGGCAGAGTGGTGCACCACGGTGACCTATTGGAGGTATTTGAGAGCACCACGAAGGAGGCTTCCGGAGTCTCACCGTCCCCCGATGACCGCGATGGTGCTACTGGCCAGGAGGAAGAGATACACGTTGAAGAGGAAGACACTGCCATGGACGCCATGGACCGACTGATGGAGAGTGCCTTGATCTAAGGATAGTGAGGCGCCGGACATGGCTTGTGTCTGCTGCGACACGGGCGTTTGACAGGTCATTCCCGTAACGGGAGTCATTAATCATCGACAACGGAGGAGCCGGAGGAGGAAGAGCGATAACGGAGGGGGAAGGCTTTTCTGTGTTACTATTGGGCCTCGATAGTTTCCGAAACAACCCCCGTCAGGCGACTCTTCTTTTCATCTCTTTGACTTCTGCCTCATGCAGATAGGTAGACATATACAATGGATGCACAAAATCAGGTTCGCTTCTTGACGCACAAATCGCCCGTTTCCCAAATGCCCACTGTGACCTTACGGCCCAGGGGTGGTGGTGGTGAAGTCCCGTTCCCGGCTCGTGTCTTGAGTACGGATAGATCCTTGATTTCCCGTACCGATGGAGGGCAGGTAGTCAGGCAGGCTTGCGGGTGAGTGAGAGTGGGTATGGGCTGGTTCACGTTGCGTTGCGTTGCCGCGGGAAAGTAGTCAGGGCTCAAATGGGAGGGGAGGGGGGGGGGGAAGGAGGTGACTTTGCAAATGTAGCCCTACCCTTCCACGACGTCCGTTCGGGGAGCCGACGGGACGTTTGCCGGATGTGCAGTGCGTTTTTTTCCCAGGTTCCATTGCTTCCGTTGCAATGCTTCGACAGTCCCCGTAGAAACATCAGGTTGAAGAGGAGGGGGGGGGGGGGACATGGAAATAGAAGGGGCTTTTCGTGATGGCGGTTTGTACGAAGTACTTTCGTATGTAGCAGGCAGCGTGGGGGAAAAGGGGGTAGGTAGGTACGCGTTTACTTGGCTTGCTCCTCCCAAGCCCCCCGATGGTGTCTGTCCAATCCGAATTCGTGCACATCAGTCTAAAAAGGAAGTATCGGGGCGGCAGGGCGGCGGCGACGACGGGGCGGGGACAGGATTTGAGTAGGAGGATGGGATGGGAGGATGAGGGTATGGGGGGAACGTTCCAAGAGAAAGAAGGGCCGTATAGACGGGCTTTTCCGGATCGTCAATGTCATCACTTTTTGGAGAAGGAACATCTACTTGGCACACACGCGATGTCAATACCGTTTTCACTCTTGGTTGGGGGGGATTATCACTCGGCCGCGTTCCTGGTGGACACTGGCTGAACTGTCTAAATGTAGACAAGTATGGCAGACATGGAAAAATGTCGAGTTGCGATTGGGGCATCAGATTGACTCCATTGTCCACTCCCCTCCCACCGGTAATCCTCCGGTACGAAATGCCACCCATAGCTAATTCGTAGCCAGTGTCCATCCTCTCCTTCAACTTGCCCTGTGTGACCTACATGTCTCCAACGTTCTTCCAACATGTTCTAGCCAAGCTCGACGACGACGACGACGACGACGACAGACTTGTCTGTCCTGTTTTACTCAGCCCACGTCCGTCCACAACATCATCGTCGATCAAACGGCAAAACCTAATCGGGTGCAGCATGCATACAGCGAGATCACTTGACCTAGAGGCCAGCGCACTGTCGAAGTGTATGGTCCCACTTCCATCAGACGTGTTGCAGCATTCTGTTCCCGCTTCTCCATACGATCCAGCAATATCTGATCAAATAAGAGGGGGGGGTAGGATCCCGCGTAAGATTCCGTGATCGGACGGGGTTCATCATTGTCTTGGAACCCAGGAAAGGGCCGTTCTCAGAGTGGCGTGGCGATGACTGGTACCAAGGCAGTGGATTGGGGAACGGGGAGGCGGGCAAGGAAACGGGGGAAAGGGGAGTGAGAAAAGAAACCGAGAACGATGTGTGCTCTCTTCAGCTGCTTTGGTTTGCTCCACGTCCGAGCGGGCATAAAAAAAAAAGACCAAAAAAAAGGCGGATCGGGAGGAAGAAGTCGAAGTAGAAGCAGAAGCAGAAGCAGAAGAAGACAGTGCAGGGGAAGTAAGGATGTTGCTTGATGGTTAGGTCGCTGATCGCAAATCTCTCGCTCTCCTCTCTCACTCACTCCCCTTCTTTCTTCACTTCCTGACGCAAAGGTCTGTTCTCAGCACCCACTTCTCGCCTGCGCTGACCTCGCGCCCCTCGTGCTGTTGATAAGTGGAACATGTGTCAGTCTGCAGTGGCCTTCGCTGCGACCTGGTACGATTGAAAAAAAAAAAAAAGGATCAAGGGACAGGCAGGTAGTGTAGGCGGGAGAGATGCAGGGGTACTGTTGTGCTGCCCAGGTTGCTAGGTACCGTGGTGCAGAGTGGACATATCGAGTTCGGTGGTTGGGAGGGGAACTTTGAAGTGATGGGATTGGAGCACAGCCAGAGAAGCGTGAGAAAGGAAGAGGCAGAGAGATGGAGAGGTGAGGCCGCAGCTGAGGTGGCCGTGGTTGGGTCCTCGTTTCGCGCCATGAAAAGCAATGAAAAAAAAAGGCACTGGAGAGCGAAGTGCCAGCGAATACATCGTAGTGGCAACGATCAATGTTGCGCAAAAAAACGACAGGTTCAGGTGCATCTGGCTATGACCATGGTTCGTCCGGGGATCAGGGGAGGACGCATGGAGTTTTTGATAGTACCGAGGACTGAAGGGCTGAAAAATCTGAACAGAAGAGACTTACCAGCATGCAGTCGTCGCCATGCTTGTGTAAGAGGAGCATGCCCGTTTCGAGAGCGACCGGGATCTCCTCCTTGGCGGAGCGGTGGTCGTTGGGAAAGAAGACGGTCTCGCCGCCAACACAGCCCTCAGCGGAAGAGGTAAGATAGAGGAGCAGCGTCCAGGTTGTCTTGCACGTGACGGGCCCGGAGGAGGGGTCGATGTTGAGTGATACCTTGTTCGAATCGTCGTCTGCAAGTGGGGGTTCCAATGGTCAGCCAAGGTCGATCTTGAAGCTGGAGAGGAGGAGGAGGAGGAAGCCTGCACGGAAGACAAGTGAAAGGATACAGAAGAAAAGAGTCAGAGCTCAGAAGAGGAAAAACACCATAGGGTCGCCGGAAGACAAGGAAAGCATGGTGGCCCTGGTTCTCTCAGTGCCGAGTTTCTTGTTCGAATAGAGAGGTGCGAGATGTCGAGGGGCATCGCTGGATCGGACTCGCAGGCTCCCGGACTCAGCTTCCCACATCATCCAGGGGGAGATAACGCCATGAAGCGGATCAGGATGGAACGATCCGCAGGGTTGTGGCTTCTGGGACGAATCGTTGGGTCTGGTGCTCGGATGAAGGATCGTGATGACTGGGAGAGTGCAAACAAAAGAGGACTGAGCGGAGGAGACAAGATATCATATATCATATATGATCATCTGAAGGGCAGATCGTTGGTCCAGACACTTGTTGTGGGTCCCCGAATCGTCTCCCCAAAGGCCAGTGGTTCAACGATTTCACATCTTTCAGCAGGTTTCTCATGCAGAGTCGAAAAGTCACGACCTGCTTCATAGACACAGGTCTTGGATTCGAGGTGGTCGAGACATGCATAGTAAGGGAACCGTGGTAAGAGGTAGTGCCCACAGGAATGGGTCGATGAAGGTAATTGTCATGGGAAGGGGGAAACGTATGGACCGAGCGTGACCAAATCCTCGTACAATCTGCTTAGTGACGGGCATTGTGGCATGTCCACTGGGACGGGGGCAGTGATTTTGCAACGGTCTCGTTACAACCCAACTTTGGGGATCCAGAAGTGTCGCTGTGTAGAGAACACTTCGTTGGTGTCATGAGAATTAGGTAGCCACCCGGGGCCATGTCCCCAAGACAAAGGCTTGTAGAGCTCTGGCACATCGCCGTCTTTGACCAGTGACAAATATGCGCAGCCTATGGCAATCGCGCGAGGACCTCGAAGCACTTGACCACTGGCCTAGTTGCATAGAGCGGCGGAAATCTTGTTGGTTGACTGGCAGAGTGCCTAGTGCTCTCGGCGCCTGTGGCGTTGAGTGACAAGAGAATGATTTGACTATGAGACTTACAATGTGCATCGAAATACTGGCCCTTGGAGTAACGATAGATGCGAATATTGGGATTCAGACCAACGACTTCACCGCCCCTAGAGCAATCGATCCACGTTAGTAAGTCTCATGACAAGCCTTCAGCTTTAGCGAAAAGACCTCTACGCAAGCGGTTTCTTCTTTTGCGTGGGTTTCATGTTTGTTATAACTGTTTTTGGACGTATGTATACTTTGATTGTGCGCAGACGCTGGCGGATCTAGCCGGAAGCGCGTGGGATGCGTTGTTCGTGGCCAGGGTGCATTCGGAGGGCCGGGGGATGGGTAGGCGAGGTAGGGACTAGGGGGGTTGGAACAGAAGACAGTGGACTCACCATAAACCCTGAATGTCTTCTTGAGCAAGCGATTCGCGCAGTCCAGTCTCCGTCCACAGGCGTTGAGCAAAGGCAGCATCCTGCACTTGAAAACGGTCATTCACTCTAACCGCTTCTCCCCGCTTAGGCCGACCAGGGGTGGTGATCAGCGGTAAACCCCTCAGAAAAGTGACATAGGCACTGCAGAGGGATTTTGGCCAAAAGTTGCGAATCAGGACGACCTTGTCCGGGCAAGAAGCGAGCTGGTCGGCAGCCAGGTCGGTGACCGGTAACGGCGGTTTGAATTGGGGCCATGCGGGCGGTGCGGCGGGAATCGAGGCGGTTGTTGTCAACTTTGCGTTGCCGCCGCCATTATTAGTTCTAGAGCCGGCCTTTGTCTTGCCGGCGGTTGAGTTTTTGGGTTTCCCCATGGTATTTGGCTTATTCCCCACGGTATACCGATAGGGTTCGTGCTGTCCCGTATGTACAGAAAGAATGGGACGTGTTTCTCGGGATGATGTGCAGCGGGCCAAGTAATATCAGGTGGCTTATGGTTCCTGACGGCTGTCTGGGACACAACTGAGGCTCCCGCTACTATGTAGCAAAGTGGCGTGGCAGAGAAGGGAGGGGTGGACGCCGACAGGCTGGTCTTTGCGAGAAACGTTGGTCAGGGCCAAGTTGGTATGTCAAGCGGTTGATTGGCTGTTGAATATTGGCCGAATCGAGTCTGGAAATCGTTGTCGCGCTTGTTTTTGTGCTCCGAGAGATGCCGTTGGAGCCCTGATGATCAACCCACGTGAGAGCTGGCGGGGGTAAACCAGGATGAGGGATGCTGGGGGTTGAACCGCGATTCGTCGGCTGGCTGGACCCTTTGATGATGACGTCTAATCTCTCGGCAGGTTGGGGGTTTCGTGCGTAGGGAGAAATATAACTTTGTGGGCAGCAGTCTGCAGAAAGAAAAGAGAATGATGTTGACGTTGAGTGGTTCGTGATGGACGGAAGTGGACTCAAATGATGCAGGCGCTAAGGTACCTTATCCATAAGGTAGGTAGGTGCTAAAGGTACGTAGTAAGGTAGGTACGGAGTAAGGTAGGTGGGTGGTAGCCTTGTGTGGCCCAGGTGGTTGTACTGTGTGCGGCTTACAGTGTGGACGGTGCTCTCGATGGCGTGTGCGGCGTGCCATCCTGGGAAGCCGCGCCTTACCCGACCGCCGCCGCTTCCATTTCTGAGATCCCCCGTGGACCCATGCCAAAGTGGATCCCATCTTCTCCGGGGGCCCGGGGGGAGACGCCGCCGGGACCAGGGCCTGGCGATGGATGGGCAGCGCTAAGCATTGGTCTCGCTCGATCTTGAGAATCGCCTTTTCTTCCTCCCACTGAACCTGAGCCCTCCCTGCCTTGTCCTACCTTTCGTCATATATCAAACAGCCAGCCTTCGTCTCCCTATGTAACTTTTCATCAGAAAGTGACAATTGATCAAAAATCCCATTTCCCCTCTGCCATGTCTGGGTCTTCCTTGACATCTTGGGTACTCGTGACTAAAGCCTGCATCGTGTGGCGTGCTCCTAGCAAATACGACTTAGATTCGCACGCATCCCTTTCCTCTCTGTCGGATTCCAGTCTGTGCGCAGCGTCCCGTCGCTTTGGCGCCATATCCTGTCGGCTCTCGCGACCTGGAGCTTGCTAAAATCGACCGCAACGCTGAATCGTAAGAACAGCCGATGGGAAGGGAAAAGGCGGCGGTTACCAAGTAGGTAGGGTGCGACGGGGAAAGACCCACGACGGTGTTTTAGCAAACTTTCGGCAACGCGGTTGCTCCCGTCGCCCTTCGAAACTTCTGTCGTACAAGTTTGCGTGTCTTTGGGGCGGCCCGTTAGGCAATCGGGTCATTGCATATCAAACGGCACTTGTTAATGGCTGATAGGCAAACATTGAACCTGGCCGGCATAGCACGGCCGCATTGGCCCATCGAATTGATCTGACAATAACACGATGCAATCTGGCAATCTGATCCGTGACCCAGTGTTGTGGTAAAGGAACCGTGGCACCCCAGGTTCGAAAAGTACGATAAACTCGCGCCTCGGCGATCGCGGAGATTCCCACCTGCACTGCAATGCATATCGAGAAAATCTGGTCCTTTGCTAAAATACCTCATCAACAGCAGCAACTTGGATTTCACCAAGAGAAATCTTCTGCTGTGGATAGGCGTCACTTTTGGCTGGATCCTCGACGTAATTGGGTGCTGACTTCGTGACTATTGCCTTTCCTGGCTGAGGCGCTAGATCTCGTAAGAAGTGATATATGACAGGATCCGACGAGTTGTAGGCTTGTCGCGTCACAAAACCTGCCAACCTCCTGATTGATTTCTGCACATCTGACCTCGTCACTCGCTTTGACCTTGAAGAACAGGACTCATCCTTGTTCGGCGCAAGAGAGTTGTCTCGCGCTGTAAGTCGTCTCCCCCATAATGCGAGACTGCAGGTATCCTTCTTTGACCATGAAGAAGACAATCAACGTGTGATGAAACCGAGTTTGACCTGAGACAATCCGGTCAATTTGGAACTCGTCAGGAACCGTGAGCCAACACATGTCTCCTATCCAACTCAATTGTGGCTTGTTTGTCTTGGAGTGTTTGTCGGACCAGGCGCCTGACTGTCGGGACGCCGTTCTCCTTGATCAAGCGTACGGAGCAAGGTATGTTGAGGAAGGGGAGCTCTGCCGCAGTCTCCACAGACGACGACTGGCAGCGCACCCCGCTGGCGATGCTTTTGGGCGATGCGCTACATCTCATTTTGCGACTGAATCCGAAATCACATCTCACGAACATGAATGCGATAACTTCACCCACTTTGTGCCCACCCCATGAGCACATGATGCCTCGACCCAGTGTTTTCATCATTTTGCAGATTCTCAACCTGATGCGCCCGTCCACGACCTGGATCGCTCTGGTTCTGCACCAAGACCACGATCGCAATCTACCCAGTCCTTGTTATCGTAGCACTATTGACGACAACGTAACGGCGGTATTGTTGCTTTCGGGCTTGCGTGAGGTGCGGCCTGTCCAAACAAGGGTCGGGAGCTAGGCAAAAGATGGTATTCCACAAGCGAATGGACTGTTGTAAGTTTATTGTGGTGACATCGTATCGGGTATCAGCAGGATCAAGTGCTTGTCGTCTTCAGCGTAAGGTGAATGAAGAATCCGATTTGCAAAAGGCGGCCAACCAAAAAAGTGTCGTCGATAACGATCGCGTTTGGTGTTACTATACTATTTGGACGTTTGCCGAGCCTGCATTGGGCGCCTTTTGCCAGGCATCGAGCGCATGCGCTGGGGAACCCAGCAGCTTGGTGCAACCAAGAACCGACAGCGTGTCACGAAATCGTCAGAACCCATCAGCGATCCAGCAATCAAGATCTCGGACAATCGATCGCTGCCGAGACAAGCATCTCTTCAGGTCGGTTTGCAGTTGGCGAATGAAGGCCTCCGAGTTGGGGACATGAGTCGTAAAACAGGTAGGCCCGTGAGGCGTCGATGGCGTGTAAGTGCAGGTAGTTGAAAAACGACACTTGATCTGTCATTTTGACGGTCTTGCACAGATACTTGTTGCTGAAAAGCCTTTGAGTATCCAGTGGACAAGTGGAATAGGCGGCGGGGTCTAGGCATCTCGCCAGATGCAGCCATCAGCGAAGCTGGGCAGGCCCCGGGGAAGGCATCCGACCATCTGACTGGCATGTCATCTGCAGGTGATTTCGACTGATGGGAGCAGCCGTTGCAAGGTGGGCTGTCATCCCAAGATGGGGTGGGAGGCAGATTGGTCGTATCTTGCGGGCCATTTTGATTGGGCATCGTAATCATGGGGAGAGCCGTGTGCCATTGCTCGACAAGGGCTTTAGCGCAGCCATCTGTTCCGTAGCGCCATGGAGCATATTAGACCACTGCGATTGCCAGCAGGTCATCTGCAGAGGCCGGAGGGGAGGCCGGATGGCTTTCGCGGACGCAATCTTGAGGTTTCCGCCCTTCTTAATATGCCGTCCACGCTGTGGCTTGGCTGCCGCAGTTGTCGTTGCAATGGCAAGGTACCTGACGAGTCTGGATGCGTGGCTTCTGGAAGTTGTGTATGTGGTGGTGACAGTGGGCCAACGTGCATTTCGTCCGTAGCGAACGGTAGCATTTCGCGAGTCGCCAGCATGCCGCGAAATTGCAAGATACAGATACGAGGGTAAGGAGGATATTGACAAAAGATTTTGTTTCTAAATTTGAGTTGGGCGGAATTGGTTTGCGTCATTATCTTCTTCTCCTGCGGTTGCTGATGGGAAGATGTGGAAGCAAAACACCACGCTGTGGGAGAGAAGGAGATGAGATGGAAGCCCAGCAGCATCGCTGTAACCTGGAAGGAACGTCCATTGGAACCCCTGGCCGGCACTGAAGCCAATGTGTTCTGGTATACGTACCTGACTTACATAATGCACACAGCGCACAGCCCGCTTAGATAGTAGCCCAGCAAAGGTGTATGCACCAAACGGAATATCGGATCTGTTTTGTTGCATATCCAGGTACAGGGCCCGAAAATTTTAGTGGCGGGAACTTCCTTTCCCCGACTTCCAATTCAGAGGAGCTCCCAAGTCTGTCCCGCCAGAGCTCCGCTTTACCTCCCCAGTCTCTCAACACCAACCGCGCAAGGGACTCCATCGACACCCGTCGCGATCAATTGAACCGGCAGATGCCGCTCTGAGCTTGGTGAGCTGCTCCGAGAATACCACGATGGTTTTATTTTGTCTGACAGTAGCTTCAATGGAAAGGGGTATAATCCGATGCTCGCGCAACTCTCCCCTTCCGCCATGGCTTCCCAGAACGAGTCGCCTGACACTCGCCCGACGCGGTCGCAGGCCCAGCCAACATCCTCACCTTTCCAGTCGAGAGCCGCGAAACAACTTGGCCTCTTCTTCGCCGGCGCCGGCTTCTTCGTATTTTCGGCAATGGTTACCCGACGCTCCGTGGCCCGCAAACAACTCGCCGCCTTCCCGAAATTCTATCAACCTAGCCACTATGCTGCGGGCAAACAAGGGAATCCAGAGGGTGGCATGATTGCCGTCGAGGCTTTGAACCTGGCCACACTGAACGTCATGAGCTTCGCAATCATGATGACTGGAGGTGCTGCTTGGGCATTTGACGTGTCTTCGGTTGACGACTTGAGAGAGATGGCTAGGAGAAGCATCCGTGGAGCGGCTGGCCAGACGGACGAGGCGGCTGAGAAGGAGTTTGAAGAATGGGCTGCAAATATTTTGACAAAGTTCGGCAAGATGCCGGAAGAGAGCAAAAAACAAGACGACACAAAGACCGAGGTCGATTCAAAGACAAGCAAGTAAGGACGGCGAAGTGGCTACTTCTAGACCATGCTTATCCCCTTTGTCGCGAAATGCGGACACTCCCTGGGCAAGCCTCACATTTGGTTGCTACCAGCTCGTTTCCACCTCGACAATATGTACAATTGATAAGGCGAATATCGCCACATAAGACACATCTCACCATCAAGCGACTGAACAGCTAGTACTGCCCGCTCTGAGCTAGCATTTCTACCCAGAAAGAGTGCTGGCTTTCGTGAGCAAGCGAGACCGGACGGGGTCTATCGGAATGAAGAAGCCACCAAGATGGCGGTACTGACTTTGGTCTCAGCCCGTGGCGGAGATTCGGTGGCCTCGGTCCATATCTACAACGGGGCTCTGGGTTCTGCACCACGGCGTTCCTGGCAGCATACGGATAGGGTGATCAGTTATGCTGTCTTAGAGCCAAGTCGGAGCCCCCAATTTGTGGACCGCAAAGACTCGATAACTTCATGGGAGAAAGGGGTTTAAGCCCATGTTCGACTTGGAAATTCTGGCGGGGTCACCGCTTAGAAGCTAGTGGCTGAGGAGGTTTTGCAGGCGTCCGGCTACTCCACGTCCGCGCAGTCTGGATGGTGTTCCGGCATGGTCGAAGAACCAATGGCGTGTCTCGCTCTATCACTTCTCAGAATTTTGCGTTCCATGCTCATGACATTTCTTTTGAAACGAGTCTCTCTGTCTGCACCGAACAAGCGCCATGATATGCTGCCGCGAAGGATTTCCAGCTATTCAGACGGCGTCAATGGCGTTAAAAAAGGTCTAACAGTTGGATATAGTTGTCGCAGATGATGCCTTTTTCCCGCTCCCGAGACGTTTGACTCGAAGCTCTTTCTTATGACGACTACCAGTGATGATCCAAGTCCAAGTGGCCAAAGACGAGAGAGGTGGACGATACGGACTGGCTGAAAGCCATGTTCCGATACACAATGGTGCTTGGTACGCAATTGCGAAGGCACTGGCTGGCTTACACAACCGTACACAACCACACAAGCGTGACCAGCCAGTGCAAAGCAGCCAGGTCTTGAGGGTGGAGAAAGGGTCCGAGACAGCCATGGCGGCATGGCCTTGCTACCTATACAAATCACACCCCAGTCGTCCCGGCCTGCCCCGTCATGACCCCTGGTCTGTTGTCGACAAGGATCTATACCTTACGGCCCTAGGTACCTAGCAGATCGCCCTCTAGTGCATCCTGGGATTTCTTCCATGTACACGCCCTTACCCCTTGTCCCTACGTCCGCAAGAGATGGGAGGGTGTCGACTGGGATTGCGTACGAGTTCATTCTGGCGGATGTGCGATGAGGCTTCCGCTGCAGCTCCTCCTTGACCCATGGTATGGGTATCGGACCCGAATCGATGCCAAGTCGCATCTGGTACAGTCAAGTGCCCTAGGCGTATGCGTTCACGCTTCTCTCATATTCCGATTTGTGTTATAAAATTCGTCACTTCCTCGTCAACACTGCCGGTCACCGCTCCTCCATATTTCTTCACCTATATCACCCTGCCTGATATTGACGCTTCGACGTTGTCTTCGCACACCATCTACTACTACTCTATTCACAGCGTAGCCCGGTCTCGACTCGTCCACCACCGTAGCGTCGACTCTCACCAAGCTATGTGCTACGCCGAAAACTATTAATTCTCGTGGTGGTGTTGATATTTACCTTGCGGCCTGCCCACTTCTTTCTTTCCTCCTTCCCATCAGACTAGCAGTCTTCCTTGGAAGACGATATGTCACATACTACGCTCCTGGATAGCGATCCAGTCAACGCAAACATGCAGCCAGCGCATGGCACGCTTGTCCATGACGGGCGATCTCTCGACGGCCAGGAATACCAGCGAGGTGATCCGGTGGCCATCGTCGAGAACGGCACAGGAGAGGACCTTTCAGACGCGCTTCACATTCTCAATCTCCGGACCAACCAATGTATGCTCGTGCCTTTGAAGGCTGTCTGCTGGGTCCCGACTCACACTGAGCAACGATCCGGAACCACTTTCCTGCTTACATTGTACGGCCCAAGCCTGGATTTCCGCCGTTCCGTTTCAGAGCGCCCTCAGATGGGATATCGCGGCATCGCAACGCTCTTTGGCTCTTGTGTCTACGTCGGACGCGAGGTCATGCTGGAGGGTAACGCATCAAGAGTCAATCTGGAGCCCGCCAACAGAGTCTCCTTGTTTACGGCCCAGTGGGACGCACTCTCACTCAGCGCGGATGTGCAACAGCCTGCATTGACTCCTTCGGCATCCTCTTGCGCATCGTCCAGAAGCCCTTCTGAGTCGGGGGACGATGTTCCTCCTCCTCGGTTCTACCGCGTGCAAGGGCGTCGAGACTCTGCTATTGAAATTCGAGACCCTGATTCCCCCATTTACAAGTCCTCTATGGGACGAATGGTGAGCACCCTACCTTGAAAGCCACGGAGTTCCAGAACTTCAGCTGACCACTCCTCAACAGTCCATTTCACCTAAGCCGTTCCACATCCCCACCGCATCTTTCGCAACGAAGACCAACACTCGTATTGTTCCTGAAGCATCGAAAGTCCGACCATATGGAAGCAATGCCTGGTCAGACCTAGAATCTGATGACGAGTTTAGCTTCGACATGCATCCATCGTTCAGCCTCGACTCTGCCTTTGCTGACAATCTGGACCTTTGCATCGGCGAGCATCACATGGACGGCATGATTGCAGACGCCGATCTTCAGGTCAACTTTGTTTTCATGCCGCAGAACGAGAGTAGCAACTACGTACCTGGACAACATGACCAGCAAAGGCAGGGTGCTAACGCTCAGGAGCCTCTGTGGGCCACGCAAGGCCTCAACACAGATAATGGCAATGCTTGGGATACTTTGCAGATGCCACCACAGCATGTTCCGGAAATGCGGCAACCCCAGTTGCCAATGCCCCAGAGACAACAGCCGCTGCCCTCGAGGACAGTCAGCCATAGCGACTACTACGAGCAGTATCGCCTTGCGGAGGAGCAAGGCAGCTCTCACAGCCACAACGGACCCGTGGGCCATCATCCTCCGCAACCGGAAGCTGTTCACCTGCAACATGACCCTCGCACCAGCTACTTGCCTTCTCAGATTCCTCCTTCACATCCTTCTCAGCCCCTTCAAGATTTCCAAATGCACCCACGGTATCCGGAACAGTCGAACAGACTCCCGATGCCAGGCCCCTCATTCCCTGCGCCTCAAGAGGTCCATGTTATCCAGAGCAACCGCCCCACATCCCGACCATCATACCCCCTTCCATCAAGCTCTTATAGCCCGGTACAAGAAGGCAGCTTGCCTTCGACTTCACAAAGTCAACAGCCAAGGCGTAGTCCGCGTCCTGACGACTCTCGCCCTTCAAGCACACGCGGGACGCCAGTCATGGCTCGCCGAGCACCAGCACAACCCGTTCATACGTTTACGCCAAGTGGAATCATCGATTCCTTCCGACAGAGCACACAAGCTCACATCAGCTCCTTGGAGAGTCATTGCGAGCAATTGCAGCAGAGCCAGACCAGCGATGACCAACTTCGTCAAGCGAACGAGTCGCTTCAAGCTGCTCGACGAAACAACGAGGAGTCTTTGCAGCTTCTCGGTCTGCTTCAGCCTATCACCGGTATCCCTTTGAAGGGCACAGAGAAGAGGCTTCAGTCAATCGCTGATCAGATCGTTGATGCAATCAAGAGCCTGCTTCCCGACGGCAGTGATGGTTCTGACAAGACGATCGAACAGTTGGGCCAAAAAGTACAAAGCCTCAAGGAGTTTATCGAGTACGTTGAGGGAGTTCATCCCGAGGTGGTCAAGCGCCCGCAGGACCCCGCGACAGCATCTACGGACAAGAGCCAGACTGTCCCAGTCACGACTGCGAACCGGATTCCCTCGGCTCCCGCGTCCGTTTCTTCTCACACTGCGGATGAGTCCGACTCCTGTCGCTGGGTAGACGGCCAGGCTACACCCCCGCCGGATCGATCCGCAGCAATGGCCTTGAACCGAGACCGCTCGCGCATGTTCCGGGACATGACTGCTGCTCATGGTCGTCGTCCCGAGCCTCGCATCAACACTGCTCCAGAGTACTATGCTCCCACCAGCTACAGCCAGCCGTCATCCCGAATCCATTCACCGCTTGCTACCCATTCTGCGCCTGCAGAGCCTCCCCACGCGGCTGGCCATGGCTTCTTTCAACAGCCTCTCCCAACACAGATACAGCAAGCGATGCCTATTGCCGACTTCGGGGCCCCGATGCAGGATCGAACCATGCAGGCCTACCCGCCTCCCACCTCAGTCGAGATGATGCGGCCGATGCAGCCCGTGTCGAGCCTTCCACCTCAGCACTACACAACGCAACAAGAAAGTAACTTCTACCTGCGACCACCGCCACCAAACTGCCTGTACCCAACGACCGGAGCCGAAATGGCTCAGGCTGCCTACGCTCCGCGGTCGCCAGTGGATTACCAGCCGGCCCCGGGGCCAGCGCAGAGCAACTACTACCAGGACATGCGGTCTGGTCTCCCGGATCGGCGAACAGTCCGCCAGGAGCGTCCTGCTCCCTACTCCCTCAACTATAGGGATCAAAGGCGACGAAGAGGAAGCCAGTGATGGGCTCCTTCGATTTCGCACAAAATATTTCACACACGTATATAGATTGGGTTACGGCTGGCTATTGTCCTTTTTTGCCATTCGACTGTGTCGATGGTTTTTTTTTTTTCTGCTTATCATCCTGGTTCTAGCTAGCGAGCATTTGATATCCTGCATGTTGTTATGGCGAGGCGTTCTCGGACCGAGATTGATTGTTTCCCTGGGGCGACTGGCTGCTGGAAGATGTAGAGATGCCATCTCAAACATCGCGGTCCTTTAATTTCTAACTACTAAGCATATTTCAAAAGGTTATACACTTTTTGCTGTTTCTTCAGGAGGCGGAGGGGACAACGGGACATTGGGTATACGAAAGACATTGTTCGCGTTGGATGAAGGGAACTGTTTGATATGGGTTTACTCGGGGCTGGCCATGTAAAAAGTTTATGATGTTTATAGAATGAATGATACAATACTCAATCAAAGACTGCCTTGCCATGATATGGTGATCTGGTATCCCCCAACCTGGGCCCGAGGGGTATGAACAAGACGCGGCAAACCCTTCCACCCGACCGCCGACTTCCTCGGGCTCCGAGACGCCAAGACAAGCCACTCTTCACGTGCACAACCACCGAACCGGCCGGCGGAAAGATATCAAGCAAAGCAGGTGAGCAGGTATTGATCATCCACCGGACCGGGGGGTTTGCGGTGGCCTAGCACGGGCCCCGCCCTCCAATCCGGGGGTTATCTGCTCCACTTAGCGGGAAGCCGGGATCTGCCCGGCTACGACAGCAACTGACGCAAGCTAGCGACCCGAATCGGTATATCCTCCGGTCGCCGAGCCTTTCTCTGACTACAGCCGAAATCGAACGTCCCGCCTCTTTCTGACGTTTCGCAGGAACCCCAGGAAGCTAGGAGAGGGGAAGGGGGAAAAGAGAAGGAATTTGGACCAGTGATTTGTTGGCGGCCTTGGAACGACCACTTGGACAATTCATGCCTCGGCAGGATCGCTACTTAGCGTGCCAAGGGGGATGCTCATGCATACACGTTCGGTCTCCGTTGAAGACAAGTGAAGATCAGTGGATTGTGTGAAGCCCTCTTTCTCTCTACCTACTCACTGGGGCTACGTGTTTCCCCGTCCCCATGGCCTTTCTCTCTGTCGGTGAGACGATTGACGACGTGTTCTTTGGTAGTTTCTAGCTTAATCTACCCCGTTGGCTTGATGCGATAGGCAGAGAGAGGCTCGGAAGTCGATGGATGTGGTTCCCATCCCCGCATAGGGATCCATACGGAGAATTCACCTCCCTATGCGGAGGTGGCCTTCTGAGGCCGGGGGACGGACGGGATGACGGGGACCCTTGCCCCGCCTCCTTTCATCGGGCATGATGAGACGTCGATGGGTGCGCCGAGGCAGAGACGGCGGTGACTTCCCGTGTTGGGAAAGGACCGAGTTTCCGGACGCCTATATAAAGACTCGAGAGATTCGACTACGTTGTCCCTGGGGAAATCTTCTGCACGGAGACATTTCAGCGGCTAGCCTTCAATCATTAAACACCAAAAACCAACAAATCAGGTTTCAAGACATTTGAATAGAAGACACACACAACAATGGCCATCACCAGAATCGGACTCATTGCGCTCGCAGACGGCCCTGCACAAGATGAGGCGGTGAAGAGGTTCAGCAACTTTGTCAACGACTGCAAAAAGGTAAGTCCCAATACTTGGATCTACCCACCATAAAGAATCTGAGGAGACATGATTTGCTAACTCCAAGTCTTTCTTCGGGATCATTAGGAGGATGGCTCAACGTACCTCGTCGCCTCGAAGGCTAGCAAGTGCAAGGTTCTGACCGACGTCCCGGGTTCCCAGGCATGGTCCGTCGTTTACGAGATTACGTTTGCCAGCGAAGCGTAAGTACCTGTCTCTCCCATCTTCCTTCTTGACGGAGATGGCAAACTTGCGGCTAACCGACGACGGTTGGTGCTTAGGGATATGGAGTACTACCAGACCAAGGACCCCATCTACCAGGAGCTGATGAAGCAGGCTGCCGAGGGCAAGGCGACGGGCTTCATTGCCGTGTCTGCAGAGTTCTAGATGCTGGTCGTATAGATATCCAAATGAATTTCAACACGAGTTTATGAAGTATTGCTTTGCTATTGAATCATTGCTATGATGACAGTTAGGCCCCAGGTGTTCGGTATGGCCTAAAATATCATCTTCCCTCCAGAAAATTGAAGGTTTGGTCTTCGTCTTGAGAACTTTGTTTCGATTACCTATCAGCGACATGGAATTGGCCACTCAACAATACTCTAATGCAGAAATAGAATGAGCATCTCCGAGAACGTCATCTAGCGTAGTAACACGCCCCAGCTAGCTGCCATAGAGGGGCAGTAGGACACAACATCAGTCGACTTGGAGGCCGCTTCAAAGAAAACCTCTGACCCTTGGATAACTCAGGGCTCACAGTTGTAAAACCCACAACGTCGTAATCTGAGGCAGCCCGGGACCCGATACATGGCCTTCCCGAAGTCTCGATAAGAGGTTGCCACCAAACACTCATTCTAGCACTCTCACAAAGTACCTACACTTCTATGACATGCCTCGCCGCTATTTCACAAGCTTCATCGCAACCGGCAGCCGGGTTTCTTTCTGTCAATCCGATGCTCCAGTATAGTTGCAGGCGAAGCAAATTGGTCCCATGAGATGGACTACTTGACATCCAGTTATGTGGAATACTGGCCAGGTCGATGCCTAGATCCTACAACACTTGTTGCTGGCATTCTGTCTAGACAGAAATACCATCGTTGGACGCAAGGGCCTATGCTTTCAATGATGACTATACTCGCCGTAATGCCGCCACCGTCTTCTCGTTAATGCTCGGCAGGTCCAAATGGCCCCTCTACCGAAGTTCAGATATCGATGCAACCCTGGCAGAGACACGCCAGTGTAATCACCGTTATAGGGTAGCCAAAACCTTTTGCTTTTGGAGAATTTGATGAAGAGATGAAATGCAAAGAACCTGGTGAGTGTGAAACACGTGCTCACGTACAGATTCCTCTAGTCCAGACGGACCTGATGTCTCGATAATGTCAAATCGATCCCCTTCCCAGAGCGTTTATTAAGAATGATCAAAGACTTCTCTCGTAGTATAGCGGTCAAAGCGACGAGGTGAAGTGATGATGAGGGCTGTCTTTCTTGCTTTAGACGATATGTAGCTGAGAATCATACTCGACATCTTGACGTCAAAAGGGTATCGGAGAAGCTCAGAACGTCTATATCTACAGGTGATCATCATTTTCATCATGATCAACCCGCTTTGGAATGTCGAGAGAGTAAAACTACTTGTAAACCATCACAAATACCATCTCGAGTAACAATCACGCATGAAAATTCCAGCTACCATCATCAGTGCCTAGACCTTGCCATCAGTGACAAGGTCAAGAAGGTCAATCGATACAACAAAACCCCCCTCAACCCCATCTCCCTCTCTTCAGCCCTCAAAGCAAAAGTCCTCAAGGAACAGCCCGAGAAGAGAGGTGGAGACACATCGCGCAAACAAGAACCTCGGATACAAGCTCAAGACAATGACGCCCCGAGATCAAGACCTCCTCCACCCATCCAGCCTCACCATATCCAACCCACTCCTACCGGAAACAACCCACCACAACGAAGTCTCTGCCAAAAGAAGCCAAGACCGTTGAGAAATCAACGCAAGAAAGCCGACGTACGGTAAGCGTCATCAATGAACAGCACACCCACCCCGTTACCCCGTCATCCGAAGTAGAATGAGAAAAGCAAACGCCCGTCATTTCATCTCATCGCCGACGGCCGGTCTTCACCGGTCTTCCGGGGAGGGAAGCCGTTCGCCCCCGGGATTCTCTTCAAAAAACATTTCCACCACCCGCAGCGACAACAGCATCACCGCAAATCAACCCAAAGAAGCTTTGGCACCATAGAGATTAGATACACACGAGTTAAACTCGGAAAGGTATGGCCAAGTATCTTCATGTTCATCACCAGCCTCGGCGAACTTTGGGGGGGAAAAAAAGAAAACCTTCAACCTGACGGTAACGCAGAATAAGAGCTATCCCGTCTCATCGTCAGCGACGAGAGACGCGGCATAGGGTAAGGAGGGGGGATGCCGTCGACATTCCGAAGCAGAAAACACCAGACGATATAGTTACAAAACAAACACGAAGAACGAGAACTCGAATAACCTCCGTCGCCAACAACAACCCCAAACCCATCTCAATCCCGCCGGAGAGATACCTGTCTACCCAGTACTTACCTCACTCACTCACTCACCAAACTCACCTTCCCTAACCTCCCTTCCAAAGCTTAAGATCAAAAGACAGCCGAGGTCTCGGAACCAAAAACAGTAATCGATTCGTCGCCGACAAACAAACACACAGACATCGCCGTTCAGCAAACCGCGTTAAAAATAAAATAAAAAAACCACTAAAAAAGGCTATGACGATCCAAATAAACATTCGTACACCCCAGCCATCAACATTTAGAGTTGCTCTCACTTACGACGAACCTTCAATCTCCAATCAAACTTACAGTTGTCAGTTTTGTTTAGTGAACACCCGAGCAGTTCATGCCTCCCCCCCACCTTCCCCAATCTCTCATCTCGGACTTGGACCTTCATGAGCCGAGGCCTTAAGGGAGTCAAGACGAGACAACACAGAGAGAGGGAAAGAGAGGCGCAAGCTCTGGCCACCTACCTTCTCAACTTCCCTCTGAAGGTGAGGAACCTTTCCTCTCCCCTCTCATTTGTCGTCTATAGATATCTAAACCTCGGTGATTTGAAACGCAAAAAGCTCCCAATTCCGAGGTCCGTCCCAAGTAGATACGTGCATGATTTAGATTTTCTGGTGCCTTTCTATCCCAACGGCGCCGCGGATGATCTTCTACGACACATAAACCCGGAGCAACGTGCCCGAACTTTTTAACAAAACAGTAATCGCCGACCCGGTCGCCCGCGGGTCTCCGCTCGGGAGTGGTCGCCCGGACATGAAGACGGGCGGTCATATCATTTGACGCGGCCGCTTTCCTTGGTCGAAACTCCGTCTTGAGTGAACACAGGGTATCCTTTCGTCCACGGAATATGTTTTCCGCACGATACTAGACTACGTTATTCGATATGCTTGACAAAAAAGAGGGCGACGATTTCCCCTGAGTTTAGCAGCATGATATTAAGGGTCCAACCTGCAGAACGCTATTGAACGTGTCTGTGTGTGAGTGCGCGGACAAAAAGTGTCGCGCGCAGCCGCGGGGACCTCCAAACTAGGTAGGCTGGTAGGTAGCCCCGAGGCTGTCAACCCGTCGGGGACGTTCAACAAGCTCTGCCTGGAAACACTTGTTCGCGGACAGAATGAGTAGAGTTCGTTCCATTGTGGGGTCATCCATGATCATCCGTACCATCACGCACGTTCGTGGTAAAACGCAGAGGTTAATCTTGACACTTGCAGCGCTTATGGGCACCACTTCAGGAAAGGATACATTAGACGAATGTACTGGCTTCAGTAAAGTTGAAGTTCTGTTCGAGGGTTCGCGAGAATGGCTCTCGAGAACAAGTCGGGCGCAATGAAACGCCCGGCGATGTCGAATTTCTCAGTCCACTTGTTGGAGCATTTGCCAAATTCAACGCACAAGTGCCCCGGTTTCGGCACGGGAAGAAGGGCTCTCTTCAGAGACGATTCCGATGAAATTGGCAGATCGCGCCATCACCGCCGACCGACTCCCGAATGCATCTCGATCGCAATACCGGCCACGGCAACAACGGTTCCGGTTGCCAGCCATGCATTTGACTGGGGTCGCTGCGACGCCAACCCGGGTGCCAGTCACCGCTCTGCCGCTTTCAGATGCCGGGAGAAGACCGGCGTGGGCATCGGCAGGATGCACAGTGGGGGCCCCACTGCTCCGTGACGGCGGGATGACTGATCGGGGTTCATCGTACGACGACTTTTTGGTTGCAAATCAAGCCGCCCTACCCATCCCCACCGCAAGAAATTTCACCAATGGCCTCCACTGTAAATATTTTGCATTCTCACGACAGTAAGACTGGAACGTGCACACCACGGGCGTCCCTCTCGGCATGATGAGTGGGGCGGACTTTGGTCGGAAGACATTCGGGTAGGTGATGACGGTTACCTTGTCTAGACCGCCGTGCGCTTGAGCCGCGGAAGACAACTAGCATACCGTAGTGAATAATGGTTTTCATGCTCATCTCTGGGCCTGCCCGGCGATACATTACCATTCTCGTAACTCACTTGGTAATGGTAGCGATGAGGTATTTCTGTGGGTGGGAGGTTGGTTGCTGCACTGCCTGCTCCAACCAAGGCTGGCGCTTTCGAAAGTTCTGATAACAGAATTCGATATCGTGTGGAGTCTGAACGCACTTCGTGATCGCAAATTCGACATGTTTGACTCGTGCAAATGTGAGCTGCCTTGGCAGCCACCGGCTTTTTACTGCTGATGACTGTTAACCAACCGCAAATCGTTTTGTAATGTGACGGAATGGGAAACCAGACTGACACATGTCATCTAGCCAGGCACGAGGGGAAAAGCTTGGCAAGCCACTGTTGCAGATCCGAGATCTGCTTCCCACCGTTGCAGCGTTTGACTCTCAGGCTGTAGCCTAACTTGACCGAGGTAGAGGCCTATGCGTGCCCTGGTTGATGATGCTTGGAGCTTAGCCAGGCGTAGATGTGTCCACGATAAGGCATCGGCCAATGCCTGACTGAGCGAAAGATACGGATACCTAGGCAAACGAAACCATATCAGTGCTTGCATGCGAATCGTTCGGAGCGTGTTGCTTGTCGTACTATCGCTTCCAGACCCTTGGCGGATTGGCCCACCTGAAAGAGACCAGTTTTCGTTACCAACTCGTACCACAGTAAGTGACTTCTGTTCTAATGCGACAGGTCTCTTGGAAGTCTTTGCATAGATGCCCATGGAAATCTCAGAATCCATCCGGAGATAGCAACGGGGGTCAGATCCACTCCCCCGAATATTTTGCAGGCAGGGGCCGGTGGCGTGACTCGACAGTCAGACCGTTCTTGACTATCGCCCGGGCGTAGGCGAGTCTG